AGCCGTCGAATGAGAAGCCGGGCGCTGGGCCAGGGCTCGCGCCCCAGGGACTAGAGTAAAGGTAGGGGCTCGCAGTCAGGCCCAGGGCTTTGGGGACGCCGAGGAGATCCTGTGGGTGCGCGCTCGGTGGGAAGGGCCCCAACGCCTAGCTCTGGAGACCGGGGCAGCCCGCGCCGAGGGAGCACGAACCGGAAAGACGTAGGTGGCGCCCCAACCACCTCCGCAGCCTCCTGCCCAGCGCCAGGACCCTGGGACCCCGTCAATCCCATTCGTCGCCGCCCTCTTCTCAGCGGCTCCGAAACTCTCCCACCGGCGTCCGGAGCTGCAATCGGTGGAGGCCCGGGCCCTCCCCTCCCAGTGTTGAGGTCTGAACCCTGAGAAACGCCCCCCCTCTACCCAGCTTCTGCTCTGGGGCGCTTGAGCCGCTCCACTTCCTTCCAGACAGGCCTCCTCTTCCAGCTGCCCCACGAGGATGTGGATGTAAGACGGCTCCTCCGCAACCAAGGGGGAAGGGCAGAGACGAAGATTCCATGTGCCGGTGATAGGTGGTTCTCGGCACCTTTGCTGCCCGAGGCGCCATGGGCTGAGACCCTGCGGAATGCGGGCTCTGAGTCCCCGGTCCTTGACCACTGGTCCTCGGCCTGCCCGCCTAAGGTAGAGATTAGTGATGGAGGAGGTTCCAGAAGTTCTTATCTGAGGGACTTAGGGGATGTAGTGTATTTTGAAGGAATGGGGAGACTAGGTATGCACACCATAAAATTAGATTTTGCACTTATTTCAAGAGGCTTAATGGAGATGGTGAGGGAGGCTCAAGCCACCTCTCGCAGCAGCTGTTGGTTATGAACACTCCTCTTGGCAGGAACAGGCTCCTGGGTATAGCTAACCTGGTGGCAACTATTGCCACCCCTTCCAGAGTTTGGCTGGAAGAAGGGACAAAGCTGCTTGTCACTGCGGGATACACCAAGACTCAAAGTGGAGCACAGGTACCCTTAGTTCCCCAGATCACAGAACCTCAGATTTGCAGCTCCTGCCCACATCTACTCCTGTTTCTGCCAGTATCTATTCTGTACAGATGCTGGCCAGCACCCCATGCCTATCACAACTGCTCAGAGTCCCAGGGGCCCCCACTGTTACCACCACACTGCTGCTAGTGTGGTCCCGGGCCCACTGTGTGTGAGGGCCCAAGCCAGCTCCTGGCCCTGCAGATGGAGAAGAGCCAACGCCCCTCCGTGCCTGAAAGCAGGGAGGGAGGAAAGGGTCAGGAGCACCTGCCCCAGCCTGAGGGACCCCACACAGAGTGGAGAGTGGAGGAGAAGGAAGGAGCTCAGAGCTCACCTGGGGGAATTAGGGGGGAGGCTGGCTCAAAGCTGCTAGGCAGGATGGTGATGCTTGGGTCCCAGGGGCTTGGAGCCGGTGGCAGCAAGGACGAGGATGGGGGAAATGGTGCCTGAGACCGCAAGCTGGAGCAGAGAATTGCACCTGAAAGGTGACGAGGCGACGGCAGGGTGGGAGAGGGCACATGTGTTAACAGGATGGCAGATGAAGAGCCTCTCGCAGCCACACCCCTATCCCCACCTAGCTGGGACATACTAGCACCTGGAAGCTACCCAAGCCAACTCTGGTTGCCAAAGGCCCACTGGGGTGGGGTAGAGGTGCTGTGTGCTCACTTTTCTTCCCCGGAGAGCTTTTCCCAGTGGATGACTTGGGCACAGCACCGAGGTCCATCCTGCAGGGCCCCCATTTTTCTCTCCACTTGGTTTGGTGGTTCTGTCCTCATGCCATGCTGAGACCCAGGGCCTGTCCCTTCTTCCCCAGCAGAGATCTGGGTCCTGGGACAGACACCCACCCCATTTCTTTACCTGCACTCACTCCCTGTGCTTTGGCTGCAAGGGTTCAAGCATTCAAGGCCTCTGCAGGAGCCACTTGGAACCCCATTTGTCTCAACTGCCACCCCCAAGTCTAGGAAGCTGCCTTTAACATTATGGTCCCCTGACTGCCAGAAGGCATTTACCAGAACCATAGCAGCAGAAGGAAGAGGACTGGCCCACCACAGCCAGAGTTGCAGGCTCAGACTGCTGCTTTTAGGAATGTCCTGCCTCTTCCTGGAGACCGCTGGGTCCTAAATACGACCTGACTACTCCCAGCTCAGACCCTGGGATGTCAAGCATTCACCTGTAGTTTTGTTGGCTATGTCAACTGAGCACAATTTCCACAATTTGGTGAAAAGCCTGGGCCTGATATCAAAAGACCAGAGTGCCAGGAATTCCTTGGTGATCCAGTGGTTAGGACTTCGTGCTTCCACATCAGGGGCATGGCCTCAACCCCTGGTCGGGAAACTAAGACCTTGCATGCTGTGCTACAGGGGAAAGACAAGCATCTGTGGTGAACTGGGTTTGGTGAAGAGATCACAACTCAAGGAGTTTCTCTACCACCTTCAAAAACATAGGAAGGGAAGTTGTTTTGTAACCACAAGGCACCCAGTAACTGAGAGGGCCACGCACCATCAGGTGGTTTTATCTCTTCATTTTTTTTTTTTGCTCAAAATACCAATTTTGAAGGCTGAGACCTAATAAAAAAAATACTGAAAAAAAGAAGTTATAGTAGTTAGCTACTTGGTAATCTCTGAGTGTATAGTGCTGGTTGTAGACACGACAGTGATTTTAAAAAAACAAAAATGTCTGGCACCCATGTCTTTTTTTAACTCTTACTGTGAGGTCACAGAATTTACAAGGTCCCTGTAAGCCAATGGTGTGGTTGGTTCTGGACAGCAGCAGCAGATGGGAGCTTGTTAGAAATGCAAATTCTTAGGTTTCACCCTAGACCTACTTTATCAGAAACACTGGCAGTAGGGCCCAGTGATCTGTTTCAACACCATGTTCAAGTGATTTATTTTTCACATAAATTTGAGAACTATTGATGTTTCATAAATATGGGAGTTGCTCAGTAAAACATACCGTTTAATTCTGTGTTCAACAGCTCCGTTTATAGGGGATGGGCTCTTTACCTATTGATGGCTCATAGCACTCACCCTGACCTGTAAACACAATGATTATAATTTTCACACAGCAAATGATACTAAGAAAGCTTAGTGTTGGAATTCAGACAAAAGAACAACCTAGAGGTGCCAAAAGGAAGACATAAACTGATGAACCAGAGTTTACTTTTTGATCCAATCCTCCCCAGTCTTTGCCTACCACCACTAAAGTCCATAGTGGAAGGGGTGTTGTAGAACCTCACTATACAGAATCCCCCTACCCACACCCCGCCCCAGACCCACCATCAATCGAATTCGTATGTTGAAAGTGAATCTGCATATTGAGCATATTTGAAGGTGGGGCCATTGGGAAGTGATTAAGTCATGAGGTTTTCACCTTCATGAGTGGAATGGGATTAGTACCCTATGAAAAGATGCCCCAGGGGAGTTCCTGGTGGCCTAATGGTTAGGACACAGCATTTTCACTGCCATTGCCTGGGTTCAATCCCTGGTCAGGGAACTGAGATCCCACAAGCTGTGTGGCTAAAAATAAGAGGCCCCAGAGAGCTCCCTTGTCCCTTCTGCCATGGGGGAGCTGTCTATGAACCAGAAAGCAGATCTTCAACAGACACTAAATCTGCCAGCACCTTGATATTAGCCTTTCCAGTCTTTGAAAGTGAAAGTTGCTCAGTCGAACTCTGTGCAACCACATGGACTACACAGGCCATGGAATTCCCCAAGCCAGAATTCTGTTAAGTGGGCAGCTGTTCCTTTCTCCAGGAGATCTTCCCAACCCAGGGATCGAACCCAGGTCTCCCACATTGCAGGTGTTTTTTTTTTTACCAGCTGAGCCTCAAGGAAAACCCAAGAATACTGGGGTGGGTAGCCTATCCCTTCTCCAGTGGATCTTCCCGACCCAGGAATCGAACCGGGGTCTCCTGCATTGCAGGCAGATTCTTTACCAACTGAGCTATCAGGGAAGACCTCCCAGTCTCTAGAACTCTGAGAAATAAATGTCTGTTGTTCATAAGCCACCCAGCCTGTGGTATTCTAATATAGCAGCCTGAACAGATCCAAGACAGACAGCTACCGCACCAGTCTGATTTTTGGATTCTTCTTGTCTCAGGATAGCAACTGATGGAAATAAGAGGCCACAGGAGACAAACTGGGGGCCTCCCAGGTGGCGCCAGTGGTAAAGAACCCACCTACCACTGCAGGAGGCTTGGTCTTGATCCCTGGGTTGGGAAGATCCCTATGGAGGAGGGCATGACAACCCACTCCAGTATTCTTGCCTGGAGAATCCCACGGACAGAGAAGCCTGGCGGGCTACAGTCCATGGGGTTGAAAAGAGACAGACATGGCTGAAGCCACTTATACACATGCATACAGAGACAGGATAATGACCTCATTAAGGATACCTACACTTCAGGTGGACTGCTGACAAAGTCCTTCAAGAAGTGCCCCATTCCCAAGAGCATTGCCCCGGCCTGGCTTCACTCCAGAACTGGGACCCATATTTTTGTCGTCCCAGATGTGGACTTAGTTTTCACCTCCCATTCATGATTTCTCCCCTGTCTCTCTCAGAGCAATCTTGCTTCCCTCAGGAATAACCCATCCCTTGATACCAATCCTGAACTAGTATATTTGAAACCAGTCCAAATCACATTCCCAGAAGATTAAAAAAAAATTTACTTCAATGCCCAGCTCCAGTATTCATACACACTGATGCCAGGGCATAGGCAGAGGAAGAGAGGTATAGTTGGTTCATCTTGTCCCCAAGAAGGGGACATAGCTAAGTCACCCTTCACTCCCAGTGCAGACCCTCAGAAGTCCCAGATCATGGGCTTCAATTATCAGGATATACAGGTAGGTTCACCCAGCTCCAAAAAAGCTCAAAGAGCTTGCTTGCTTCCAGGAAGGCAGGCCTTCTGCTCTTTTGTTTCCTGCCCACTCTTAGGACACAAAGCCAGGTATCTGTTGGTAACTTTAGGAGAGTGTATCCATCTCTTCATCTGCAGCAGCTATACTAGGTCTCTGATACTCCATTTGGGAGCACCCCTGAGATCCTGAGTTTCTGAAGGTACTGCTGACGCACAGGGGGCAACTGGGGATACAGCTCAAAACCCGCGGGAAGGGCAGAATTGGGAAGCTTATAGTGGAGAAGGTGCTGCCGAAGGCCCTGCAGAGAAGAAAGAAACTTTATGTAGCAGGTAGTGAGATCCTGTTGAGATCTGTTCCCCAATACCCTTCATTCTCCCACCTCCAAGATGTGCCCCACCCCCTACCTCATCTGTCAGCAGCCAAGTCTTCTGCAGCATGCTTCTGCAGGCAGCCTTGATCTCGTCCTAGAGGAAGAATAAGAAGAGGTGGCACCAGGCCAAGGGCAGGTACCTATCGCTGGCCTGGCTGGGCCCTTACCTCCTCCCCAGCTGGCCCAGTTCAATTGCAGGCCCCTTCCTCCCTTTGGAGATGGGGATGTAACTTACTGAGTTATTTGGGTCCTGGGAGAAGATGAAGCTGTTGACATGAGCCACAGCCACAGCATAGAGCACAGGGCACCAGCGTGGACGGAGGGCACCAGTAACCAGAGCCCGGAAGTAGAGCTGAAGGAGGGCCACGTTGTCTTCAGGAGGCACCGTGTAGCACTCCAGGGACACAGGCAGCTGTGACAGGGGATATGAGGCATGCTGAGGGTCAGGGCATGATGTGGATCAGCGGACAATGGGGTGGAAGGTGGATGGTCACATGAACCAAATCCCTATCACAAGGGTCAAGGTTAAGGACTAAAGAGCTAGAAATGAACTTATTTAGAAAACAGAAGCAAACTTTCAAACATAGAAAACAACCTTATGGTTACCAGGGGGTGGGGGGAGGGATAAATTGGGAGATGGGGACATATACACACAACTATGTATAAAATAATAAGAAACTGCTGGGCCTTCCCTGGTGGTCCAGTGGCTAAGACTCTGAGCTCCCAGTGCAGGGGGTCCAGGTTCGATCCCTGGTCAGGGAGCTAGATCCCACATGCTACAACTAAGACCCAGAGCAGCCAAATAAATAAATAAAATTAAAAAAAAAAAAAGAAACTGCTGCTGTATAGCACAGAGAATTCTGTAACAACCTACACAGAAAAATAATCTAAAACAAAAGAGTGGATACATGTATGTGTATAACTGATTCATTTTGCTGTACACCTGAAACATAATATTGCAAATCAACTACACACCAATAAATTTTTTTAAAAAAAGAAAGAGCTGGAAAGCAGTGGAAACTGGGAAACTGAGAAGCAGCTGTGAATTTCTACTGCCACCACTGCCTGTCTAATCTACTTGAAACTTTCAAAACGTCATATGCAGCTGCTCAATTCTATTACCAAACCATTCAAAAGTTCATGTTCTTTTGAATAGTAATTATTTTTCCAAAAAATTACTCTTCCTTAATTCCATGCAGAATGATTATGAGTTTATATCCAATGGTGTTTATCAGAGCATTACCTAAAATAGCAAAAAATCAGAAACAAACTTTGATGCCCACTAAGGGGTTCTAATAAACTGTGACATACTTGCAAAATGGATTATTATATAATAAAAATGTTGATTTCTTAGGCTATTTAATAATGTGAGAAATACTTATTATATAACATTAAATTAAGAAAACATTATGTGGTGATCCCAATTTTATAAAAATATGTATACACATAAGAACTTCCCTGAAGGTGTAGTGGATAAGAATCAGCCTGCCTCTGAGCTTTTGCTTATGCTGTTCCACTAGGTACACCCTGTCCTTCCTCAACAATCCAAATTCTACTCAACTTTTTGTGTCCAGATCAATTCCCACTTCTTCCATAAAACCTTCTCCTCATGGAAAATCCACTTTGATCTTTGCCTTCTCTGAATCCTGACTTAACACCTAGAATCTGAATAACTGAGAACTATATTGGTTTCGGTACATCTCTTGTCTACACTGTAGCACCTCACGAGCAAGGAACCGTGCCATTAATAATAATGAACACCTATGGTATGCCAGATACCATGATAAACCCTTTCCATGTATTTTTTCATCTCCTCAAAGCCCCCAAGAGGTAAGATAAAGAACCGCAGGTCACCAAAGTGCCCCGCTGCTCAGGAGTGCTTCCAAGGCCCAGGACAGGATGCCCATGGTGGGCCCTGCTGGGCTGAGAAAGTACCTGTGTCAGTGGCAGGCCCAGAGCTCGCAAGGCACCCACGTGCTCCCCAAAGAGGGCGAGGCGCAAGGTGACGCTGAATCGACGCTGTAGGGGAAGGAGAATCAGAGCCCCAAAGAGGTGGTCCCCGAAAGAGACAGCCTCAAAATGCTCCAGGAAGTTGGCATAGAGGTCTGGGAAAGATGTCAGGCCAGGAAGTGGGCAATCCAGGTTGAGATTTGGTAGGACTTCAGGCTGGCAGAGCCGGGCCAGGAGGGCTCCCACCAGGCGTTGTATTGGGGTCTCCCGGAACAACTCACTGTCCACCAGGAACACACACATGAGCCGCGCCAGGCGGGCAGCAGGAGACACAGCCCAGAGCGCCTGGGGGCGCCAGCTCTCCAGGACAAGCACCCACTGCAGGGCCCGCAGGGCTATGCCCACAGTGTCAGCAGGAGGAAGTCCCGAGGGGGTGTCTGAGGCCCGGTGGTAGAGTTGAATCAATGGCAGGAAAGGCCAGTCAGTGGGCAGCAGCGGCTCCTTAGGCACAGCCAGCAGCAAGGCTGGGACTCGCCGGAGCTCCCCTCGGTACAAGGCCTGGGAGGCGAGCAGGCTGGCCCGGGCCAGTGAGCAGTGGGTCAGGTAGCAGCTGCGGATGCTGGGAAGGTCCTGGCAGGCCTGAGCTAGGAGAGCCCCTCGTCCACATCCAAGGTATCCGCCGCTTCCTAAGGACAGCCGGTCAGAGAAGTCAGCTGCCTCCGGACCCCCTGATGCTCTTTCTCTGTAATGGAACCCGAAAACAAAAATGAGGGCAAGAACCCACAAGGCCACCAGCTCTCCAGGGCCTCCCAGAGGCTCCCAGGTCCAATCCTGCTCCTTCCTGTCCCCCTAATAACCATCCACATGGCAGTTAAGAGGACGGACACTAGAGCCAGTTACCTAGGTGCTCGTTTACAGAACTCTGTGCCTCGGTTCCCTCATAGTAAAATGGGGATGATAATAATGAAATGGGGATGATAATAATGATAATACCCATCTCAGGGTATGGGTTAAATAACTGAGTAACTGTTAGCTATTACAAGTGTACAGCTAGTTTATAACCATTTTCCAGCCATACAGTCACAGAAGTCTCATAGTAATACCCTAGTGTGTTATCCTCATCCTCACTTGACTAATGAGGAAACAGAAAACTCAAGACAGGCTAAGTGTACTCCATGGAAGAAAGGAAATTAAGCCCAGGTCTTCTGGTTCCCAATTCAGAGCGGCTCTGGCAACCACCACAGTAGCTTTTTGAAAGGGCTGAGTTGATGCTACCAAGCCCGGACTTACGGGAGGAACTCCAGCCGGAACACACAGCTCAGCAGCAGCTCATGGGCAAGGTGCTCACTCCCAGGCAGCAGCCGGCCCAGCAGGGCCAAGGCCATGCTGTGACAGAGGGCCACGTCGGTGCCTGCCACTGGTGGCTGGAGTGTTGCCTGTGGACAGAAAAGGGGGAAGGGGGAGGAGGAGGCAGAGGGGGTGAGGGGGGACACAGGGAACAGAAGTGAGGAAGAGAATATGGGCCAACGGGCACAGGTTCTGGGCATGTCTTCAGGAAAGTAGGAGCTGCATGGCCTGTTGGAAGCAGCACGTGTTCCAGAGAGGCAGGATGGGGTTAATGGGGGGGTGGGGGATTAGGGGCACCCACCGCTCTCTGGGCCAGGGTGAGTGCCAGGTACTGCAGGTGGTACTCATGGCGCAGGGCCCACGCAGAGAAGGGGGTGAGGTGCGGAGCGGCCATGGGAGCCACACATCGCAGGAAATAGTTCTGGAGTCCCGGGGCAGCCAGTACAGTGGCCAGCTGAGGAAGAGCAAGTGTGTTCAGATTTGGAAAGTGACTTCGATGCCTTCTGGGGCTCCCCGGCTGCCCGTCCCCTGCCAAACTCAGAAATGAGGGTTTGACAAAACAGGCCTCCTTTCCCCAAGGGGAGCCCTCCCCCGGAATCCTGTCATCTCGGCCCCCAGCACTCACCTGGCCACACAGTCCTTTGTGGATCCGGCCCAGGGTGTTAAGAAGAGACAGGAGGGCCGTGAGGAATGGGAAGGGGGAAGCTGAGCCAGCCAGACTGAGGGGGGGGTGGCCCCCTGCACAGCCCAGTGACGCGAGGCTGGAGATCGTTTCGGGGGCCACAGCACAGGACTGTGGGTTGCACAGAGGGGAGCAGCACCTGGAGGCAGAGTGGAGAAGCTGAGGGGGCTCTGGTCTGAGGTGCGCTGGGTTGTCTGCAACCAAGGTCAGTGGCAAGGTGGCCATGCAGACAGAGCCCACATTCCCTGGAGCCCCCAGCTGCTGCCTACGAGGGATTCAGGTCTCCCTCAAGCTGAATGGACCAGGGAGCTAGACTCAGGAACCCCATAAGAAGCGAAACTGCCTCCCCTCACCAACCTCCACCACACACAGAGTACATACCCCAGGGATTCCCATAGGCTGCCCAGAGAAGGGTGTTCCAGCAGGGGCAGCAGCAGCCCCTCTGACAGGCGCTCCATGTCCTGCAGCCAATCCTCTGGGCACAGGCCTGGCTGAAAGACCATGAGACTCACTGAGCTGATGGCCCAGGAGCCCCCATCCTCCTAGATCCTGTGCACTCAGGCCGAGCCTATGATTCCAAGATCCCCACAGTGAGAGTTTAGAGGCTTCTGCCTTCTGACCCTTCCGGAAGGAGAGAGAAGACTCTGAGGTTGTGCTGGTAGGGGTCATGAGAGAGTATAACGGCTCCAGGAAGGCTAAGCTGCTCTTTGGGGTTCTCTGGCCTCCACCAACATGGCTCCTTGGAAGCTCTACTGGATGTGAAGGTGGAAAGAGGAAGAATGCTAAGAGGGAAAAGATGGAGGGCAGGAAAAGGTGGCAAGAGGGAGGTATGGACAGGTGGAGATGGAGAAAGAGGGCAGAACGCTAAGACACAGACATGGCACCTAGGGCAGGGGGGAAGGCGAGTAGGCAACACTCACCTGCTGGCTCCAGGCCTGGTAGTAGGCATCCAGGAAAAGCAGGCAGGCAGTGGGCACCGGGCCCAGGGCACTCCACATCTCAGGTCTGGGCAGCAACTTCAAGGTCTGTCTGAGACATGGCTCCACGAGAGGGTGGAGCCCAGACACCTGTGTCCAAGTGATTGAGGAAGGGGTCGCCAACAGACTGGCCTCAGCAGAGTCACTACAGGAGAGCCAAAAGGGGCCACAGTAAGGATCTGGCTGCCTGGACTGCCCTCTAGGCTCCGGCCACCCTCTTTCTGTGGAGGAGCCCTCCCACCCATCCCAGAGCTCCTGGCAAGACGACTCTCCACCGGCAGCTCAGGGCTAGGGCCTACCTACTGGCTTCATGGGCGATACAGCCGGCTGCCAAGGTCAGCTGGGTGAGGAGGGTGAGCAGTGAGGCGATCCTCTGCAGGGCGAGGGGCCGAGGCACAGGGCTACTGAGCTCCTTCGGCACAGCCTGCAGGGCTCGCATCAGCACAGGGTATAGCTCCCTGGTGGTGGTGGTGAGGGGAAGACAAAGACCGCCCTTCAGTGTGAGGAGGGAGACAGACAGAAGACATAGGACAAGGCCTGCCCTGGGGCCTCTGCAGGCTGGCTGCGGAGGAGCAGGAGGGAGGCCTGGGCCGGGTACTCTGGTGAGGCTTCAAGGGAGGTTGGGGGCTAGGGGGAGGGCGGCAGCCCCCAAGGCTTCGACACTACACACTTCAGGGAATTTCAATATGATTTCACCCAGATATCAATGCTGTGATGCACACAGTGTGGTTAACCCAGCCTTGCTCCACTCCCCCCTGGCTAGCCCTGACACCCCAGCTGTCTTCATTCCTCCCAGAATCACCTCTTCCTCATGCCCAGCCTCCCTCTGAGCCTGGACCTTGAGCAAGGCTGAATCGTCAGTTCAGGCCAGAGTGCAGGGCCGGAGGGGTCTTGAGGGGACTACCATCATCTCTTCTCACCTATAAAGGTCACTGCCTAGGCCGTAGGAGGCTGCCACTGCCCACAGGCGGAAGGCCTCGGTGCTCAGGGTCTCGGCTTCCTCCAGGGGCAAGGCCAAATCCTGGGGGTCTTCAGCTATAAAGCGGCTCAGGCGGCTCCGGAGATCAAAGCCGCTCAGCTGGGGGTGGGCAGAGAGTCCGGGGATCAGGATCACTGGAAGCCCTGTTCCTGGACCCTCTGATGCCACAGGGTCATAGTTCAGGGCTCAGGTGAAACTACCTCATCCATCCCTTCCTTCTGCCCTCCTGCCTGCCTTCTTGTTAGCAGGCACTTGCTGGGCACCTTTGCCAAGGCTGCTTGGTGCCGATGTGTATGTGGCCCTGCTGGCCTGGGTGCAGGGGACAGGCAGCCTTCCTAATGAGCGCAGAGCAAGCCTACAGGAAACACGAGGCTCCTTCCGGGGGGTTTCTGTTGCACTTTTAAGCAATTGGAACAGTTCGGAAGAGAAAGATGGCATGACTGGGCTGCCTAAAAGTGCAAGAGCCACGCTTAGCCCCCAACCCAGCCCCCATCACCTGCCCTGTGTCCTGCTCACCAGCCGGGCAGCAATATTCCTACCGGCCGAGGCCAGGACACGAAGCAGTTTCATGGCAGGAGCACAGGGCACTCTGTGTAGACTGGAGGTAGGCCCCGAACCCATGGGGGACCAGCTGGTGGGCAGGAATTCTCGCACCACAGTCTCCACCAGCCGAGGGCACTCTAGCACCTGTGAGGGCCAGGAGGAAAAGGGATGTGGGTGACTGAGGGGCAAGGCCAGGCCCAGTGAGGCTCTTTGCCCAATCCCTGCCTCCTGTCTCTCACCCTTGTGGCTGACTCCAGGGAATGCCGGGCCAGGCGGATGAGCACGGTCAGGATGTCAAGGACCACAGAAGGTCCTGGGCATGTCACCTCCAGTATGTAGCGCAGCCGAGGCAGCAGGTTGGTAGCCAGAAGCCCCTGAGGTTCAGATACAAGCCCCCTGCCAAATGCAGCTGGGCCCCAGGCCTTGATGACCCCTCCTCCTCCCAACACGGGCTTGCCCTGGAGGTCACGGGACTGGGTGCAGCTGACCGTGCACTTGTACCTTGATGACATCATGTCGGGCCAGCTCAGATGGAGGCCGGTTTCCTTCTTCAGGATTCTTGGTTTTTGCCTTTTCTGCTGGGGGTTCTTCATCCTCGTCCTCGTCCTCCTTGACCTCCTGGCTGGGCATCAGAGCGAACATCAGTGCTCCATGGTACCAAGAGAAGGCGCTGTCGAGGAGCTCCTGAGAGAGGAGAGTGGGGGTGGAAAGAGGAAGAAGGGATCGGGTCAGGAAACAGCTCGTCGGTGAGGGCAGGCCCAACAGGGGGAGTAGGGACCACGAGGCTGAGAAGCTTCATTCCTTTGCGTGTTGTACCTCGTCTCTAGGGGCCACCAGCAGGGCCCGAAGAGCCCGGACAGCAGCTGCGATGACCCCATCCACTCTGTCATCCAGGGAGAAGCGCAGCAGGAAGAGGAAACCGGCATCCAGAAGGAGGTGCAAGACACTACCCACCAGCCGGTCCCCAAACTCTCCAGCCTGGGCCTTGAGGGCAGGAGGAGAAAACCTTGCTGAATCTGCTGAAGGTACTGAGTCTTCGTCCTAGAGCCTTCACTTACCCGTCTAGGACCCTGGGTTTGACCTGTTCCCAGTGTGACCCACAGACAGCTGGGGTACGGACCAGTGAGTCAGAATGAAATGGGCGAAGGGTGGGAGTCTAAGGGGCAGGGGGGGTGGACAGGACCAGACCAGTGGTTCACTCACCCTGCCGATGACCTGGGCCAACACGTGCAGCGCTAGGGCTCTCTGCTGGGACACCTGGCTGCGTGTCAGGTGGAAGAGCTCCTGAAGGGAGTACCCTGCTCTCTGGAACAGGGACAAGAAGTCAGAAGGAGCTAAGACACAGGGCAGCACCCATTAACAAATATGCGGCAATCCCCATCTGCCATAAATGGAGTTGGGTGTCTAGGCGAAGACAAAAGTGATGTTTCTTGCCTCTGCTTTCCATGAATCCTCAAACTGGTAAAGAAAATAAGACTTGCACACAAGTAACCACAGCCTAAGGCAGATTGGGGGGAAATGTAGTCACTGGTGTTTAATTTGCAACTAAAGAACAGGAGAGAGAGAGAAACTGTCCCGGAAAAGTGATGTGGTCTTAGTGAGCGGACAGAGCCCTGATGGCCGGGCATGAAGTGAAGGGTAAAGGTTTCCCTGGAGTGGGCTTCAGGAACTGCGTGCTGGAGGTCCAGGAGCAGAGGGGGTATGTTGGGGGAAGGTGGCCGAATGTGCAGCAGGAGGGAGGGAGGCAGAGCTGTGGGGTCAGCAGGGACAGATGGCGGAAGGGCTGTTCTGCTGGGTTGAAGAGCCAGGGCCTTATTCTGGGAGAATTCCCTGAGCAAGGAAACGTTCTGAGGCAAGAGATAGCCTGAACCGGGTCAGAGGAAATCAGTACAGCAATCCCATTGGGGAGTGAACCGCAGGACAAAGTGAGTAGAAGACATGGTGACTGAGAGGACAAGAGGGAACAAGGCTTAGATGGAGGAAGCAACGTGGAGAGCTGACAAACACGGAATTGGCAAGTTCTGGCGACTGGAGTGTGAAAGAACGCGGAGAAGGATTTCAAGCCTTAGAACCAGCAGGGTCAAGAATTGGAATGGGTGCACAGGAGGGTCAAGGCAGCTGAGCAGCCGCCCTTCTCCATATGGTTGTTAAAAGCTCTTGCTGAGAACTGTTCAGTACTCCTTGGAGCCCATGCCTCACCTCCGCCTCCTCTCCATGGTGGTGCAGGCCCAGATGGGTGGGAAGGTCCATGTCGGGGGCCAGCAGCTCTCCCTGAAGACTGAAACGGGCCTGCATCCTCTAATGGGTAGAGAAAGAGGACTATGCACTGGGGCAGCAGTGAATTCCTCACGTCCTTCCTCACTGTAACCCCAGGCCTCTCAGGACTTAGGTCCTGCCTGGACCTCTGACCTGAAGTGGGGCTCCTCTGGCCTGAGGGGCCAGGCAGGAAGAGAGGGGTGAGCACAGAGAAGTTTCTCCAGCTCAAGGGATGAGGAGGGCCTGAGTTCTGGGTGCAAGAGCAATAGCTCCACTCACTCCCACCCCGCTGCACCCGTCAGCCAGCGGGCCCTCCTCACCTCCTGCGTCTGCTGCCGCCGGAGTGGAGGCAGGTCCTGGGTCCAGTGGAGCTTCTCCAGCTCCACAGTGTCCATGTGCAGCCATTCTTTCTGGGGAGTCACAGGCAAGGCCAGAGCTGGGAAGATGGGAGCAGAGTAGTTTCCCTAAGGGGCTCAGCTTGCTGATCTATTGGGGTCCCAGGTGTCCAGAAGTTGCCACATCCACCTCTGCCCAAGGGTCTGGCAGCCTCTGCCCTCAGCTGTGGCTAACGGCACAGCCCACGGCCTGGAATGACTACTATGGCAGACAACCTGTCCTGGGCTCTAGCCCCTTGCTGACCCCAGATTTGCTGAGAGGGGAAAGAGGAAGAGGAGGAGATAAGAAAGAAAGGAGAGAGGAGCAAACAAGGAAGGGAGGACCACAGACATCAGGGAAACCCAGTTCTCCACTCTAGCACTGACTTTCCAAAGGAGCAGGGGAGTGGAGACAATGAGGGGGCAGCTACACTTCAGCAGAGCAAGATACCGAGACACACACCTGCCACCTCCTCTTCCTCCTTCCTCACCCCACCCAAGCCCCATCCAATTCGCTCAGCTGTTCTGGAGCACATCTCCGAGCAGGAGGTTCCTAGGGCTCTCCAAATTCAATTCTTCTTTTGTAAATCACTAATAAAATAATCCAGTTCCTGGAGGATGAATGCTCCCACTGGCCTTTCTGCTTCAGGCGTGACCTGTTCACAAGACCTGCATCAGACCCTTCCTCTCCCACCACCTTGCCATCAGAGAGAGCAGAGGCAGAAAGAACTGTGGGATGGATGGAGCCAGAGCTGGGGCAGCGATTGAAAAGGCAAGGGGCAGATGGTCTGTGGGGGAGGGGGCCATTCAGCCATCATACTGTGCTGTCTCCTACCGGGGAAGGGGGAGAAGGAGCAGTTAGCAGGACGGGAACACAGGAAGCGTGTGCGGAAAGAATATATGCATGAGCAAGTGAAGACTGATTTCAAGCCAAGCATGAGGATTAGCATTACATGTTCAAGGACAGAGAAGATTCTCTCTCTTCCCATCTGCCAGACCCGGGAGAAGGGATACTTTCCTCTGCTTTCATTCCTCCCAAGTCCCCTCCTCCTCCAAACCTGGGGTTTCTGGCTCCAGCTCATCTTCCTGCCTGGGCACACTGGCAGAAGTTGGTGCAATGGCCTCCTTTCCAGTGACCTCAGCAGAGGGTCTTCCTGGTCTCTGCTCCCTTGTGGCCTTCTCTTCTGCTTGCTCACGGGTACGGCTGTGAGATTTCAAGAAGGCAACCAAGCTGGGATCTAGAACACAGCATGAAGAGGAGAGTGGTTGGAGGCATACCCTTCCCAGCCTCCAACAGACCCAAAACCCGCTGAATGTGGCCTGTCTGTGGGTGCCAAGGCCAAACAAGGAACTTCCCAGCCAGGGTATGCGCCCCCTGGGCTCTCTGGCAGCCTCAGCGACCCATATCTGTCACTAGAATCTGCCTACCCACCTATCCCTCCATTTTTCACAGTCCTCTGGTCCAGCGCTCTCTGCCCATCCCTGGGCTTGGCTTCAAGTCAAGGACCAAAGTAAGGGGCTAATGCAATAAATGAATCAAGTGTTGACTAGGGCCAAAAAGAAGGCATTTAGGGGAATAGTTTCTCACTTTCAGTTATTTTATTTATTTACTTATACATAAATATTCACTAAAAACCTAATACATGCTATGCTCTATGTAAGTGCTAGATACATAGTTTGGAATAAGATTGACTTGACAAATACTGTTTTGGTGACCAGAAACTGGGAGGGAGGTGTAATACAGCACAGCATATAATTCACATAAAACAGAGTGCCCTGCAGCTGTACTAGAGTACAGCCAGAATACAGTGTATACTATACTACACCTGTACTGTATACACGACCTACTGGTTAAAAGCACAACCCATGAGACCAGGTAGACCTGGATTTACATCACATTCATGTTCCTTAACAGGCTGCATGACCTAGGGGAGAATTTCTTTAAGTTTTGAGCCTCAGTTTTGTCTTTCATTAAATACATCAGGTTAGCATCACCTGCCTCACAGGTACAGTTTGAGGACAGAATGAAAAGCACTCACAGTAAACCTTCCTCAATAAATGGCAATCCCTTCCTAGCCCAGTCTTGGCAGGAAAGGCCGGTACCCATACCAAGCTGAGCCAGCAACCGCTGCTGTTCCTGCAGAATCTCCTCTGGAGCCAGAGCTTGCAGTCTCGCTACATTTTCTTCATGGATGGTCTGGGCTTCCTGCTCAGCCTCCTGGCTCTTGAGCCCCTTCCCTGTCACCAGATGGGGTCCCTGGAAGCTGTAGCTGTTCCATGGAGGCTGGCTGCCCTGCTCCCTAGTTGTGAGTGCCTCACAGGTCATAGCACCTACAAGAAGAATACGATCAGTTCACTGCCTCACTCCGACTGGGATTCCTGGGCCTCTTCTCTAATCCCATTAGCTCTGGAGACAGACAGATGTCCCAGAGTCTTCCCAGGCACAGAGCAGAGACCACCCACCCCCCCGCCCCCGGATATGACACATGACTAAAGGCACCCTGGGTCTGGCTTGGGGTGATGATCTCTGTACTCATTTTCCCCCTTGGATTTACATGAGAAGGTTTCCCTCAGAAACACCCCACTGACTCTTCTCTTGGATGTCTAGGCAGACATCTGCCTCTAGAGGTCTGCCCCCAGTTCTTCTCCTAGTAATTTGCATCCATAAAGAGTTCTGGCCTACATCTTTATCTTACAGCCTCCACCAGACGCTTCAGGCTGCCCCGATGGCTCAGCAGTAAAGAATCCGCCTGCGATACAGAGACGCAGGAGGCCTTGGGTCCAATCCCTGGGTTGGGAAGATCCCCTGGAGGAGGGCATGGCAATCCACTCTAATACTCTTGCCTGGAGAATCCCATGAATAGAGAAGCCGGGCGGGTTACAGTCCACAGGGTTGCAAAGAGTCAGACACAACTAAAGCGACTGAACACACACTCACACACACACCAGACATTTCTATCCCCTTTTTTTCTCCTATAGTCAAGTAATGATCTGTCCTCTGCCTGCACGTAAGACCCAGATATGGACCCAAGCTGCCCACACTCAATACTCTCAGTAGGGTATGGAACAGCTCCTATTTAGATGGCTCAAATGCACTTCAGGTTTGAAGCAGGAAAGATGAACATCCAGAGATGACTCTATGATTGTGTATTACAAAAAAGCTGAGCCCGAGCCTCTTCAATCCCCACTCACTCTCTGGTGGGTCCAAGATAGATGCAACTTCTCTAACTGGTGAGACCTTGGCTCCAGATGCTCTCCTGGCTGCAATTTCCTGGGCAAAGATGCTTCTCTTACCAGCTGTTGCTGGCTTCCCCTAAAGGGCAAAAAGAAAATCCAGGTGACAGATGCTCAATTTTCTACTCAACCTATTGATGTCACTGGAACAAAGAGATACAAGAGACTTAATCTCCAAGGGTCACAACCCTAGTCCTCAGAAAAAGCAAGGCTCCACAGAAACACAAGTTTTGAAGTCTGACAGACTTGGGGTGGACTTCTGGCTCTTCTATTATATGTGTGGTGTAGGACAAGTTATCAGTTTTCTTATTTGAAAAATGGAGGTAACAATGCCTACGTTATATGGCTGTTATGAGGACTAAATGAAGTAATGCATATAAAGTGCTTAGTGCTGTGCGGTTTTAACAATGGAATTGTTTATCATTATTATCTACCTGGGGAAGATGCACTATGATGCTCACATGACTGTCCCCTAAACACCATCTAAGGTGACCTCTGCCTACCTGTCTCCTCTGTGAACGATGAAATACAGGAGGGAAAGCAACGCCACTGGACACAGGCAGATTCACAGGCATTGAACTTGTATCTCGTTCCTGCAGCAAAAAAGTACAAAGCAGTAAAGATACAGACAAATCCTCAAGCTCAACGCTATCCCATTGACCTTAGTACTGTATGACTAGAACCTCACCCTAAGGAGTTATGAACCCACCTTTCTTCTTAAGGCACAGTGATTCTAAACCAGCCCCCAACCTGACTGCACAGGGATGAAGTCCCATCTTTCTGAATCACTCTCTACTCAGTAAGGCTCACCAACCACACCCAACATCCCTGCTGCCCTAGGATGCCTTGCCCCACTTAACCAGGGTGAGACGCACAATAATCTTAGTCAAGACAGCAGTGATGTGCTGATCGTGCCTGTTCAGCCTCTCTTCAGGGTCCTCATGTTCAGGCAGGAGACGGCCAGGGCTGGGCCTGGCTCTCTTTGGGGGAGCAGGCACCAAAGCTGGGGGCAAATCTGGGAGACCTAAGAAAGGGAAAAAACCCAGATGTGAGATTACTCATATCTTCCCAGGAAGAGACTGAGGGCTAGAGGGAAGCCAAAGAAAGAAACGCAGCTGCTGTGGGGCCCTGGCTCAAACTGTGTCACCTTGGGTAAGGTATTTAATCTCTCTGGACTCAGTTTCTTCATATGTAAGATGGGGCTGCAGCAACAGAGTTTTGCAGTTCTGAAATAATTATGGGCAATCCAGCCACATCAGGAAGAGGAGAAAACCCTGAGGTTGTACCCCTCTCCTTTTCAACCGCATACCCACAGCCACTCACTGTCCAGCATCACCACATCCCGATGACCCTGCAGTGGAGGCTGCTCCAGGTTGGCATCCCCAGCTCTCCTACTTCCTTTCTTCACCAGCTGAACTGCTGGGGTTGCACCAGCTGCAAGAAACTGACTTTGGAAGCGCAGCAGGTCCACCTCCGACTCCCCTGGCTTTGGTCTCGACAGCATCTTGACACTCCAGCTGCCTCCCTAGTTCAACTCTTTCCAGCACTGCTTCAGCGTAGGGGATTCACTCTCATTCACCCTAGAAGCAATAAAGATAATGGGCCCTCTGCAACTGAACCTCAATTCTTTTTTGTGCATCAGAGAAGGCTCCTTTTCCCTGGGTTCATATGGACTCATTCCTCCTCATTCATACCTTATTGCCATTCTCTTTATTTAGCCTTCCCTGATGTCAACAGTCCAGCAACAGTATTTACTGCCAACTTAGGTTGTTTAGAATCTGTGATGACAAAAACTCAGAAACAACCACAGGGGACCTAAGGAATATGCTTTCAAGAGCCAGGCAGTGGTGATTCAGTATCAGACTGGTGGGAACATGCCTGGCTTAAAAGTATTCAAATTATTAAAAACCTTGGGCTATAAAAGATTGATATATATAAAAAAATTTTATTTCTACACACTATCAAAGAACAATTAGAAAACAAAATTAAGAAAGCAATTGTATTTACAATAGCTTGAAAACAATAAAATACTTAGTAATAAATTTCACCAAAGCAGTCCATGACTTATACTCTGTCAGGCCCCACAAATGCCCTAAAGGGTTGGGCTCTACGGTCGCAGGTGCTCCAGGATCACCCGTGTCAGCAAAGAGAAACCACGGAGTCTCAGACTATGCTGCCTGCAGATGAAGGGCCGTGCCTAGGGTCTCCGCATCGAAGAGGCCGCGGCCGCCCCTGGCCAGACCAAAGACACTGGGGCAGGCTCCGACAAAGAACTAAATACCCTGTATCAGAGACCTCAGCGGGATCTCCTGCAGTCCATCCCGCCAGCCAAACCACCTACTTGGTCTAGAACCACCCGGGCGCCGCCATCTTGCCCCGCTGGGGCTGGGCTTCCGCCGCCGCCGGTTTTGAGCTTCCGCCCCGCATCCCGGCTCCGCCCACTTTTGGGAAGGAATTGCCGCTTGGGTGTTCTGGACTCTTGAACAGGAAAGTACTCCAGCAAGTAAGCTTTACGCAGACTCTCTCTACACAAACAATACCAGTGACAGAGGCAAAGAGTTACTCAGACGCCTTCCCGCACTCACCAGCCGGGATAACCGTATGCTACATTCCAGCACCCAAGCTCAGGAGCAGCGGATAGAAACCTGCATACTCAGGACGGTAGCCTCCCCAGTGTGATTATGGACGAGTAAGAAGATTACCGGGGCTTCCCAGGTGGCTCAGTGGTAAAGAATCTGCCAGCCAATGCAGGAGCCCCAGGAGACCCGGGTTCGATCCGTGGGTCGGGAAAGTCCTCTGGAGGAGGAAATGGCAACCCACTCCATTATTCTTGCCGGCATTATCCCATAGACAGAGGAGCCTGGTGGCCTACAGTTCATGGGGGTCACAAAGAGCCGTTGGTGACTGAACAAGAATATAACCAGGACAAAAGAAAGGTGAAGCCCAAGGAATTCCTTGGAATCTTCTATCTGCACTACCTGTGTGCCATGTTGGAAGCATACTGCCCACTATCAACTATCACCAGTTACCTTTTCACAGGCATGTCCCCTGTTCCCTTGTGTAAACTTTGAGTTCCTTGGGGGGAAATCAGGTCTTCTTTTGTGCATCCATCATGCTCACCACCCAGTATATTGGCATGCTCATATGACCTTAGTAAATCATTGCTTGATTGAAGGCCATCTTAGGGCCCCCAATGTTAGCAGGTGTCAGAAACCCCTGGAGGGCTTGTTAAACCAGATTTCTGGGCCACATCTGAGTTTCTGATTCACTCAGTCTCTTAATAGGAACCAAGAATTTGCATTTCTAGTAATTTTCCAAGTATTCTATAAAATCCTTCTTTAGCTCTCTTGGTTTCAACTGCAGAAGTAAATTTCAGCTGCTAGGATTTAGCCAACCTTGGGATCCAGATAGTACTGGCTGGTCAGAAGTTAATGGTGAGTGAGGGAGGGAAATTGAATCCAAAAATGCAGGAAGAATGGATATAGAAAACCATTGTTTGCAACCACTAATGACATAATTACTGCAGGCAATGATCACCAATGATTGATAAAACTATTAGGTAAAAGGTTGATGAGAACTTTGGATGGATGGATCAGGTGGCCAACTTTTTAACCAACTGATGAATCTTAAGGTCACTGAAAATGGGGCCACTGGGCATAATGTGCCCTCTGATACAATGCCACTGAAAGTGCAAAGCTTTTTGCACAACAAAGGAAACTATAAGCAAGGTGAAAAGACAGCCCTCAGATTGGGAGAAAATAATAGAAAATGAAGAAATAGACAAAGGATTAATCTCAAAAATATACAAGAAACTCCTGCAGCTCAATTCCAGAAAAATAAATGACCCAATCAAAAAATGGGCCAAAGATCTAAACAGACATTTCTCCAAAGAAGACATACAGATGGCTAACAAACACATGAAAAGATGCTCAACATCCCTCATTATCAGAGAAATGCAAATCAAAACCTCAATGAGGTACCATTACACGCCAGTCAGAATGGCTGCTATCCAAAAATCTACAAGCAGTAAATGCTGGAGAGGGTGTGGAGAAAAGGGAACCCTCTTACACTCTTGGTGGGACTGCAAACTAGTACAGCCACTATGGAGAACAGTGTGGAGATTACTTAAAAAGCTGGAAGTAGAACTGCCATATGACCCAGCAATCCCACTCCTGGGCATACACACCAAGGAAACCAGATCTGAAAGAGATATGTGTACCCCAATGTTCATTGCAGCACTGTTTATAATAGCCAGGACATGGAAGCAACCTAGATGCCCATCAGCAGATGAATGGATAAGGAAGCTGTGGTACATATACACCATGGAATATTACTCAGCCATTAAAAAGAATTCATTTGAATCAGTTCTAATGAGATGGATGAAACTGGAGCCCATTATACAGAGTGAAGTAATCCAGAAAGATAAAGACCAATACAGTATACTAACGCATATATATGGAATTTAAAAAGATGGTAACGATAACCCTATATGCAAAACAGAAAAAGAGACACAGATGTACAGAACAGACTTTTAGACTCTGTGGGAGAAGGTGAGGGTGGGATGTTCAGAGAGAACAGCATTGAAACAAGTATACTATCAAGGGTGAAACAGATTACCAGCCCAGGTTGGATGCATGAGACAAGTGTTCGGGGCTGGTGCACTGGGAAGACCCAGAGGGATGGGATGGAGAGGGAGGCAGGAGGGGGGAACAGGATGGGGAATACATGTAAATCCACGGCTGATTCATGTCAATGTATGGCAAAAACCACTACAATATTGTAAAGTAATTAGCCTCCAACTAATAAAAATAAATGGAAAAAAAAAGTGCAAAACACTTCCTAGAAAGCCTTTATTTAAAAAAAAATTGAAGCTAAATCTAGTCAACCATCTAGCTCTATCTTGTCTAACTGCATTAAGGGACTATTAATTAAATATGTGGTCCTGATTTGTTTATATCCTGATTCAAACAAACCTACTATAAAATGATACTTTTTGAGACTATTTGGAAAAACTAAAACTAAAACACATACTACTAAGTATTTTTAAAACCTTTTTTTGGGTATGGGGAGTTCCCTGGTGGTGTAGTGGTTAGAATTCGGTGCTTTCACTGTCATGGCCCATGTTCAATCTCTGGTTGGGAACTGAGATCCTGCAAGCCAAGTGGTGCAGCTAAATAAACAAGTCAATATAGAAAATGTGTTGTTTTTTTTTTTTTTTTTGATGTTTTGGGTATGGATGTGGTTGTTTTTGAAAAATAAACTTTATTTTAGAATAGCTTTAGCTTTACAGGATTGTCCTATTTCTGCTTTATTGACTACGCCAAAGCCTTCAACTGTGTGGATCACAAAAAACTGGAAAATTCTGAAAGAGATGGGAATACCAGACCACCTGACCTGACTCTTGAGAAACCTGTATGCAGGTCAGGAAGCAACAGTTAGAACTGGACATGGAACAACAGACTGGTTCCCAATAGGTAAAGGAGTACGTCAAGGCTGTATATTGTCACCCTGCTTATTTAGCTTATATGCAGAGTACATCATGAGAAACGCTGGGCTGGAAGAAGCACAAGCTGGAATCAAGATTGCCGGGAGAAATATCAATAACCTCAGATATGCAGATGACACCACCCTTATGGCAGAGAGTGAAGAGGAACTAAAAAGCCTCTTGATGAAAGTGAAAGAGGAGAGTGAAAAAGTTGGCTTAAAGCTTAACATTCAGAAAAATAAGATCATGGCATCCAGTCCCATCACTTCATGGGAAATAGATGGGGAGACAGTGGAAACAGTGACAGACTTTAATTTTTTGGGCTCCAAAATCACTGCGGATGGTGATTGCAGCCATGAAATTAAAAGACACTCCTTGGAAGGAAAGTTATGACCAACCTAGATAGCATATTAAAAAGCAGAGACATTACTTTGCCAACAAATGTCCATCTGGTCAAGGCTATGGTTTTTCCAGTGGTCATGTATGGATGTGAGAGTAGGACTGTGAAGAAAGCTGAGCACTGAAAAATTGATGCTTTTGAACTATGGTGTTGGAGAAGACTCTTGAGAGTCCCTTGGACTGCAAGGAGATCCAACCAGTCCATCCTAAAGGAGATCAGTCCTGGGTGTTCATTGGAAGGACTGATGCTGAAGCGGAAACTCCAATACTTTGGCCACCTCATGCGAGGAGTTGACTCATTGGAAAAGGCCCTGATGCCGGGACGGATCGGGGGCAGGAGGAGAAGGGGACGACAGAGGATGAGATGTTTTGGATGGCATCACCAACTTGATGGACATGGGTTTGAGTAAACTCTGGGAGTTGGTGATGGACAGGGAGGCCTGGCGTGCTGCAATTCATGGGGTCGCAAAGAGTTGATCACGACTGAGCAACTGAACTGAAAGAAAGAAACATTCCAGTCATCCTAAACACAGTAGCATCTATCATTAATATGATAAGTCTGTTGGTATTTAATAAACCAATATTTGACATAGTATGACTAAAGTCCATACTTTATTCAGGTTTCCTCAACTTTTCCCTAATGTCCTTTTCCTGTTCGGTCCGGGATACACATCACATTTCATTATCATGACTCCTTAGGATCTCTTGGCTGTCACAGCTTCATAGAGGGTTTTTTTTTTTTTTTAATGACTTGGACAGTTTAGAATAGCGCTGGTAGGGTATTTTGTGCCATATCCTGTCAATGAGATTTGCCTGAGGATTTTCTCATGATTAGACTGAGGTTATGAGTTTGGAGAGAGAGTTTGGAGAACTTGGAGTCCTCACCACTGGACAGAATTCCCTATGTGTATATGCTTGATCTGTGTTTTCTGCTTTTGTTTTTGAACACTTTCTTACTTTCTGGCACTACGAAATGCTCCAAGTTCATCTTGTATATTTCCTGCCCCAGTCCTAGAATCAGCCATTTCTCCAAGAACCCTTGATTCTCTTATATTGGAAAATGGTATTAGAAACCAAGATTTGGGTGCTAGATATACTCATTGCTACTGGAATGTCTTGCTTTGGGGCCCTTCTCAGCTGACAAAGGGAATACATGTGTATGTGTAACATATACACATATCTATAAATATTTCTATATGTAACTATCTGAATCTATATGTGGGTGAGTTTTTTAAAGCCTGTTACAGATACACAGTGTAATATTTACAGCTGAAATTAATCATATGGCCAAGATTTGGCTTTAAAACTCCAGCAAAAGATTAGCCTCCAAAAAAAAAAAAACTCCAGCAAAAGAATAAAAATACATTGGAATAATACAACACAATTGGCTAAGATAATCATTGAAGCAGAATGAAGGGTACTTTGGAGATTCATTATACTGTTCTACTTGTGCATATGTTTAAAATATTTCATAATAAAAAAGGGTTTTTAAAATAGCCTAAATTACCATGTTGCTATTAAAGCAGTTCAAAAAAAAAAAAAAAAGAACTGTAGACAGCTAGATACATGGCATTCACACACACACACATACTTACTACACTCTTCTCAGGGCCATCCCTCAGTGAAATTTTGAAGAGTACAGTTGGTTTTTTCCCACGTGTTTGGACTCACCTGCTATTTCAGAAACCCCAGACTTACTGCTTTCTCCTTATTTCCTAAATCTACTTTTGGGGAAAAAAACTGCTCATTTGAAAATCCCCCTTTCAGAGTGTGGTCTCTCCTAGAAACTGACTTTTTTGCTTTATCGTCAACTGAGCAAGGCGTGGCATTGTTTCTGATTTACAGATTTCAGGCAAGGGGAGTTTGGCAGGTAGAGCAATAGTCCCCAGCGCCTGTGACAGCACACCGTAAGGTAGTTTTCCTCCAAACCCCAAACTCATAGATTCCCTGCTTCTCTAAGGTGATGAGGAACAGATCCCGTTGGCTGCCCCACGCCTTAAAGGAAACTTCCCAACTCTTAACCTCTTTAACCAGTAGTTGGGAAAGAATACAGCCTTGCTCACAGGGCCAGCAAGACTGCCATGACCCCATGACTTCCCTCTCTTGTGGAGGAGGAGTCCTAGCTCTGAGAAAGCTGAAGCAGCTACTTCCTGAGACTGCTGGAAACTGTCATCAAGGTATTCTGTTGCTATGGGCAGGTGGCTTTCATTTCCAGTTTTGTCTTTTTCTTCTCTTGCTCCTTGACCTCCTTGGACAGTCATGGATCGTAAAAGGCAGAGAATGGGCACATACTTATTTCACACGAGTAGGGTGATGCCAAGGCCCAACCCGGCTCCACCCATAATAAGGGGCTGCTGCTGGCCTTTCCTCTCTGATGGGATAGATCATAGCTGGCTCTGCTTCTGTTTTGAGGACAGGAACCACTTGGACATCTGCTCCTATGTTAGGTCAAATACATTTCCTGTTGATTTGATTAGTTTCCTTCCAAGCAATGCATTTACAAAAGGAAGGGAGATTTTTGCAGGCATGTATTTGCACAGGCAGCCAACCTCCTCCAGTCACACACACACATCCTCTCCCCATCCACCCACAAAGCGTCAGTCACATTTAGGGTTTGCACAAATGCACACCCTCCCTCATACATCATAATGCACACCCTCTCACCCACCTACACACATCTTCCACAAAATCACACCTGCTCACATATCCTTAAAGTATGTTTCTTTACTGTGTCCAGAGAGACAGAAAGGTGGGGGAGATGGGTAAGAGTCGTTTGTGAGGGCTGAGGAAGGCAAGAACTCTATGTAGGAGCACAAAGTCTGAAGGCCACGACTCCACAGTCCTCCCTACCCCGCAAGCAGAAATATTAAGACTTGAGAGGGGTTCAGAAGCAGGGGTAGAGGAGGCAGGCATTCCAGTCACCAGGCCCCACAGGAACAGTACACTGCCCCTCGGGCTGGTAACCTGAGGTAGGAAGTTTGTCAAGTCTGTGAGAGGAGAAGGACTTCCCTGGTAGTCCAGTGGTTAAGACTCCATGCTTCCAATGCAGGGGGCATGGGTTCAATCCCTGGTAGGGGAACTAAGATCCCATGTGATGCCTGGAGTGACCAAACAAAGAAAAAAAAGAAAGAAAATAAAGACTGTGAGTGGAGAATGCAGAAGCAGGTGCTCCAGAAACCCATTTTGCCTGGTGGCCACGGATGGTCCTTGGACTGGGATTCTCATCAGAGTTCAGGAAATAATGGGGGGCGGGGTTGGAATAGAGAAGAGGAAGTTAAAAGGCCAGGTTTGGGCTCCAAGTTCAACATCCTCTAGGAGCGGTCTTTCCAGTGTCAGCCAGAGTCAACAATTTCCTTTCATTGGAAACTTAAGTCGCTTCCAGAGAGGAGAGTTGGGGGAGAGGACCTTGAGAAATGACAAGTGCCCAAGTGCAGGGCTGCAGCAGCCACTCCGCCGCAGTAGCCGCGGCCCGGGTGAATCTGGCTTCAGCCCTAGACTATTGCCTGCCCTGATCCGACTCAGCTCGAGCTCCGAAACTGTGGATTCTGGAACGGATCTAGACTTTTCCTTTAGGAAAGAGTCCCAAAGCCGAACCACAACGCCTCAGAAGACTGCCTGAGCTCTCAGTTAAACGGACACTCAGGCCCCCGCCATCCTACTCTGACAGCACTTTCCCTGTGCTGCCGCCTGGGGGCGCCCCCAGCTGGGTCTGAGGCTGCCGCCAGAACTGCTGTTGTTCTCATTAGTATAATAAATAAACAAGCATTGATGGGGCCAAGAGGAGGAAGAGGCAGGCCTCTGCTGCTCAGAAGGAGAATCCTTTGAAAGATCCAATGAGGCTTCAGGGAAATGGAAGGTGAGGAAGAGGGGAAAACGAGTGGCTTGTCCCTCCTCCCCACCCAGTACTTCTGGGACTTGCCCTCTGGAGTTCTGGTCCTGGGGACCCCTAAAGGCAAGGGCAAAAGGAAGGGGACATTTGGTAAAAATGGGTTTGTAACCAGCTCTTTATCGGCCAGACAGGATGTCTGTGGACACAGCTACCTCCTTGATTACTGGTGGGGGGGGCCAGGCCAAGCTCTAAGGCAATTATTCATTCATTAAACAAGCATCTGTCTATTTATGGAGTGCCTACTATGTGCAAGGTAATCTACTAATAGCTAATGTTTTATTGGATATTGTGAGAACACAGCCAACTTTCACATCATATCCTGAGGGATGGGGGCTAGAAGCAGAGGGAGCAACTAGGAAGAATGACAGTCCCCCAGAGATGTGGGCCATTGGGCTTTAACCTATGAGTGTAACAGTGGCGACATCGGATAAAACCAGAGGATTACCAAGATCTCAGAACTCAAGACCCAAGGTCTTGGAGATAAAGGGGTGGAAAGTGGAATATGAATATAGGGAATCTGGGTGAAAAACTCATGAATGAGGCACGAAGGTGTGCTAGTAGGTCCTGTGGGGGGAGCACTGAGTCACCACAATTTCAGGGCCTGATGGTTGGAAGTATCCAGGGGAAATTTTCTGTGCTGAGAGGAGGGTGCTGGGTTCTGTGATCAGTGTCTGGACAAAAGTTGGAGTGTGGTAAAGGTTTCTAGGAAGGTTTTGAGGGAAGGATCTAGAGTGCTGAATTGGAAAAGATGCTGGGGTGTATTTAAGGAAAGGAGGGGCATGGCTGGGGTGCCCATCCAGGGGACCCAGCCAGGTCCTTGGGTTCTGCACTGTGGTATTCTCTGGGACCGCGGGTGCCGGCCGGGGCTACGGAGGTCTGTGGGTGGAGGTCGGTCGGAGGCCCGGCTGGCTGGCAGCTACTAGGTTGGTGCCCGGAGCGAGCCTCCCGGGGTTCCGCGGGGGGGCGGTACGAGCTCGGACTGCGAGCGGGCTGGCCGGGGAGGAGGCGGCGGCTCCAAGAAGAACATGAATCAGCGGCGGCGGCGACGGCGGCGACGGCTGTGGAAGGAGCGCGGTGGCCCAGGAGCGGCCCCGGGGACCCCGCGTGGCTGACAGCCGCCGCGGCGACTAGCAGCGGGCGCGGGTCTCGGAGCCCCAGCCCCAGCGCCGCCCCCCGGGCCGGCCCCCGTCCCTCCCTCGGCCCTCCTCCTCCTCCTCCCTTCTCCTTCTCCTCCCTCCTCCCTGCTCGCTCGCGGGCCGGGCCCGGCATGGTGCGGCGTCGCCGCCGATGGCGCTGAGGCGGAGCATGGGGCGGTCGGGGCTCCCACCGCTACCGCGGCCGCCGCCGCCGCCGCTGCTGCTGCTGCTGCTGGCGGGTCTGGCGGTTCTGCTGCTCCCCGAGCCCGCGGCCGCAGGTAGGGGCTGCCCGGGGGGCGGCGGAGAGCGGGGGGCTGCGGAGGGGCGCGGCGGGGATCGGAGCCCGGGGACTGCAGCGGGGCGAGCCCGGGGCCTGGGCGGGCCGGAGATTCGAGCCGAGGGCTCCAAGCTGGAAGGCCGAGGCTCGGGGGCTGGGGAAGGGGGCTCAGCGGTGGGTTCGCCCTGGGATCTCGGGTCGGCCCCCGCCCCAACTTTCTCGCGTCCGTGCTCTTCTGGCGGGGTTCTAAGGAAAGGATTGGGTCTGCGAGCTGAGCGGTCACCGGGGGATGTTAGGGACTGGCTTTTCCCGCCTCGATGTTCCGAGTTGTTTGTTCTCCCCTCCCAGTCCTGGGGACCCCAGTCTGCTCGCCCCACACGCGAAGGTCCACTCTGAAGCCTCTGGGGCTGGGACTGAGCACCCACAGGACCCCTACATCATGTAGGTACGGGGCTTTCACAGTGTCCAGTCGCAGAAAACACCTGGGCATACTCTAGTCCCTTTGCCTGCTCTGAGCTTCCTGGAACCCAGGCGTGTTGGAGATGATGGACTGGGGCAGAGTTGCTGGTGTTTGCTCAGCCTTGTGTTCCCACACAGCCACTGAGGCATTTGCCAGTGGCTAGAGTGCTTCTTGCAGCACCCAGGATCCCTAAGTTCACACTACACACCCCTGGGACTGCCTGTCCTGTATGGGGTGTAAAGCTACCCCTCTTTGCCCTGTGACTGGTCCTGAGAAGACGAAGGAGTAGGAAGTGACACAGGGCAGAGCAACAGCCCACGGAGCAGATACCTTCTTTTCAGAAAGCTCTCCCTGCCATAGCAGCCTCTCAGAGGAGGAAAAGGAAGGGAAATAGTGACAAGTTTTTACGAGCGGAAGAGTGTATCTTAGGATCAGAGAGCTCAGAAATTTGCCTAGCATCACACAGCAAAGGGCAGGAAGAAGCTGGACTGGGTTTCAGTGTAATGGATAGTTCACCTGCCCCTCTCTGCCTCACTGCTTAAAAACACATAGAAGGAGTGTGTGTGTGTGTGTGTGTGTGTGTGTTCAGAGGTAGTGTTCTAGAGGGTGGCACCCTATTGGTAGCTCAGGGGGCTTGGGCTCAGGGCCCCTCCCTTCCCTTCTACCTCCTACCTTCCTAGCACCCACCCCTGCACACATTCAGGTATTAATAGAGCGGCCAGCTGCCAGGAAGGCTGCCATGTGTTTGATCTGACGTGGTTTTGCAGCCATATGTTCTCCACTTCGGGGGAGCACCCCCTCCTTCCCTTCCTCCTTATATTTGCCAGAGGCGGGGGTGCAGGAGGATGCCAACAGCAGTGCAGGGTCTGGGCTGTCACCTTGGGTGGAGAGCTGGCTGCCTGTTGCTCTGACTGGGTACAGCAGTGATTCCGAGGGCAGTACCTGCCCCAGGTTATGAGGACGCCTCGCTGTTGCAGCCTGGCTTGCTTTCCTTTTGGTGGCTGGGCCTGACTTAACATTGCTCAGCAGGGAGGTATGGGGAACAGGTCACTTCCTTACAGCTGGGAGGAACTTGGCACTGGTAGAAATGGTGCCTGGAGAGCTTGTCATGTTACCTCCCGCAGCCCTGGTTAGTCCACCTTCCCTCCCACACTGTCCTGCCTCTGCTTCCTTGGCTACTGGCTAGGAATGAGCCTTCTGACACAGAAACTAGGTGCTAGGAGAGGATGGGGGATATTTCCAGATGCAGGGTGCCTGTCAAGCAGAATGACACATTCTCTTTCCCACCTCTCAGGCCTGAAGCTCATGGGGGCCCCAGTGAAGCTGACGGTGTCTCAGGGACAGCCGGTGAAGCTCAACTGCAGTGTGGAGGGGATGGAAGAGCCTGAGATCCAGTGGATGAAGGACGGGGCTGTGGTCCACAGCATGGATCAGGTGTACATCCCCGTCAGTGAGCAGCACTGGATTGGCTTCCTCAGGTGCAGGACTGGGGGAGGGTGTGGGATGCCAGTCTGGGGGCATGTTGTGTTTTTCCATGGGATTTGGGAGCTGGGGGCAACGCTGATGCTCAGAGGTCTGTGGTTGGTTTTTTTAATTCGGCCACCTGTGGATACTTCCAGAAGTGGGGGCAGGCTGAACCCATTGAGTCTGCCCAGCAGAGCTGCCCCCTTGACTCTGGGAGGCCTGGTGTCCTGTTTCCACAGCCTGAAGTCAGTGGAGCGCTCTGATGCGGGCCGGTACTGGTGCCAGGTGGAGGATGGCGGCGAAACCGAGACCTCCCAGCCAGTGTGGCTCACGGTAGAAGGTGAGGAGGCAGAGCCACGTGGGCGTGTTGACCTGGAGCAGGCGCTGTCTGCTAGGGACCACACCTATGCCCAAGGAAACTAAGTGGAATCTGGGCGGCCCCACTGCCTTCTGGGACCAGATTGCACCAGACTCCAGGCCCAGCCCCTACATGCAAGACCTACCCACTGGGGTCTGGGGATTTGAGAGCCAAGGGGACAACTAGGACCCATCATCTATGGGGTGCAGTTGAGTTCTAGTTGTCTGACAAACAAGCTTGAGCACCCATCTGGGGCTAGACCCTTTTCTGCCAAGTGGCCAGGCCAGGAGGGGGAGGACTGGGAGAGGGGAGGAAGGCTCCACAGCTGCAGGAGCTCAGAGCTGTTAAGCCCAGGAAAACAAAGTGACTAAGAAAGTAACAAAGGCCCCTGAATGGGATCTGGGGCTTGCCAGCAGAACTCTGCTAAGGCTCCCGCCCACTCCCCCTCCCTATTACCCCTCCCCCAACTCCCTATCGGCTGCCTCTTCCCTGGCTTTGAGAAGGGCTGCTAGAGAAGGGAGAATCTGTCTCTCAAGGCTCACTCCTCGCCTGCCTTTTTCCCCTAGGTGTGCCATTTTTCACTGTGGAGCCAAAAGACCTGGCAGTACCGCCCAATGCCCCTTTCCAACTGTTTTGTGAGGCCGTGGGGCCCCCGGAACCTGTTACCATTATCTGGTGGAGAGGAGGCACGCAGGTTGGGGGACCTGCTCCCTCTCCTTCTGTTTTAAATGTCACAGGTGAGCAGCCTCCCGAGGGGCTTTGAGCAGAGGTGGTGAGGCTGACAGAGTTCAAACCTGCTTCAGTCACTGAGCGTGCTGTTGTGAGTGTCCAGAGTGCCTGAGAACGTGACCCGCACCATTACTAAGCTCATTAGTCAGGTGTGCTAGACTGGCCGGGTGGGCTGATTTGTGGTGAGCCTGCTGTGTGTGCTTAAGGAGACTCTGGAGCCTCTTGCCTTCGTTCTCAGCAGGCTAGTTCACAGTAGTCTAGGCCGCGCACAGCTGGCCCTGGGAGGTGAATGTGTAGGACCAAGGGCACCCATCCGCCCCCCCACCCCCAAGGGAAGGAGCCAGGAACCAGCCCACGCAGAGCTAGGAGTTGTGTCTGGCAGACTTGTCTAGAAGACAAGAGTCTCAGGCTGCAGAGTTGGGGATAGTGGAGGGGAGGGGGTAGGAAAAGGGGGAAGGTGAAGCCAGTGCACAGATAGATACATGAGCCTACTCTTCTAATGGCCCTTTCCAGAAAATCTCCAGACCTTTCCCATGCCTCTATACAGTTAAACCAAAGCCACCATGCCTGCACCACATGGACCCCAAGATCCCCAGGCACAACCTCACGCCCTGTAAGGCTCCCTTATGTGTGAAACAAAGTTATTTTTTCTGGTGGAGGCTTGAACTGGCTGAAAAAGATGGGCATCTGAGCTTGGTCTCATGTACTGGAAGTTGGGAGGGATGGACGCTGATCTGCCAAGTCCCTTAGGAATTTGAAAAGAGATGAACTGCAGGATTCGTTGGAAGTAAGGGCAGGTCCCGTTCGGGAGGCACTGTTTTGGAGCAGATGAGAAGGAAGGTCGGGTTCAGTTCTCTCCAGAAGTGCGTGGTTGGGATCCTCAGGCAGCCAGCTAGATAATAAGCACTCACTGAACTCCTACTCCACACACCACTCTGTGCTAGGCACCATGGGGGATCTAGGGAATACAAAAGAGAGAGAAGCCATCGGTCCAGCCCCCTAGGAATTAGTATAATTGGGGAGACAAGACTGGTGCCATCAGGAGCAGAGAACTACTGAAAGGCAGAGAATTTGCAAATAGAACAATGTTTGGCACAGAGCAAATACAGAAGGGCTCTCTGGAATGTGCAAAGGAGTGACCAGAAAAGGGAGGCAACTTTGTGCTGTCTGCCAGAGATGGGATTGAAGTGGGGGTGGGGGTGTCACATGTCACATTTCTCAAGTGTTTTACTGTGCACTTTACATATGTTACATCAGTTGGTTCTCACAACTCTGCCTTTCAGGAGATGAGAAAACAGAGCCCCAGCCTTGGGATTTATATCATGGTCCCTTTGGTCTAACCCTTTCTTTTGGCTGGAGGGTATTAAGCTAATCAGACCCAGAGCCTGGCTATCCCCCTTCCCCAATCCCAGACTGAGTGGGAGTTGATGCTCAGGGCACGCTAATTAAGGTTTTCTGGCCCCAGGGGTGACCCAGAGCACTGTGTTCTCCTGTGAAGCTCACAACCCAAAAGGCCTGGCCTCTTCTCGCACGGCCACTGTTCATCTTCAAGGTAGGAGGACCCCAGAAAGTGAGGGGCAGTGAGGCAGAGGCCCTCTCTGCAGGCTGTGGGTGAAGTTAGAATCGTTTGGTGTTCCAACTCGCCTCGGTCCTGCTGGGATCTGGGGGATGAGGGGTTAATTGGCATAGCTCCATTCCTAGTGGGAGCACCTGAGACCCTGCACGGCTGTGATGAGAATAGAAACCTGACGTCACAGCAGATTTCCCATCTCGGAGCAGAGTCCTTGGGAAGGAAGAAGAGCGGGAGCTAGCAGGAGACGGTCAAGGCTCATGCCCAATCTTGCTTCTCCAGCCCCTGTGGAGGGAATGGGGGGGGTGGAAACAGCCTAGCAGGATGGTAGAGACCCAGAGGGCTGCTGTGCACAGTGGGAGGGGTACAGAGGGAGAGAGAGAGAGCTGTTGTATGCTCGGGAATGGGCTGTGGCTGCAGGGCCACTTGCCTCTCGCTGGTATCTCCCAAGGCTGAGATCCTGTGTCCCCCACCCATCCACTGTCTTATCCTATTCCTTGATTAGACAAGGCTTTTGATTCAGGGAGAGGCGACCTATCTCCATAGCCTAGGCCCTCTCCCAGGTATGAGCAGCTGTCTGCTGCTGGTTGCTTGGCTTCTGTATTACTGTGGTCCTGGGAGTGCTGAGTGGCCCTCATTTTGGTGGGGGAAACCCTAGGGAGGGACTCCAGGCTCCACTCCCATACTCTCTCCCTTTCTCTGTCCTTCCTGGGCACTGACTCCACGTCCCCATCTGTAGCACTGCCCGCAGCCCCCTTCAACATCACAGTGACGAAGCTCTCCAGCAGCAACGTTAGCGTGGCCTGGGTGCCGGGGTCCGATGGCCGAGCCCTGATCCAATCCTGTACAGTCCAGGTAGGCTGAGAGGGTGGGACAGGCTCTCCTGGCCCTCCTCCTTCTGGTTGTCTTGGTGGCACTTGGTTGACAGTGGTATCACATTTACTTAGTCTTGCCCTCGGGGCTTGGACTCCAGCTCTATTCAGGTGTCATTCCCTTACCAGGAACAGCCCTGGCCGTTGCCCCTTATCACAGGGGGCTCTGGCAAACAAGTGATGGCAGATCAGTTCCGCCTGTGCTTTCTTCCAGCCAGAAAACAGATCGGTGGGTCAGACTGGGGATACCCTGTAAGAGTTTTACTTATGTGGGCAAAACCCCAAAGCTTTGGTTTATCTGATGCCTATACTCTCATGCTCCACACCCTGACTCAGGCCTCAGAGAACAGGGGACCAGAAGAGGTCCTGGGCATTAGAGAGTGGGAGGGCTAAGTAAAGTGATCTAAAAATGAGGCAATGCCAGCTCGTTCGTTTTTGTCTGTTCACTTCAAAGCTATTAAAGGGGAACCTTTGAAACAGTTCTAGGCAGTTCTCCTGGGCAGCAAAGGGCCCTGCTCTGGGTTCCCCCCTTTAGAGGACCCCACTCTGGCCCTCCTTTGGTTGCACCTCTTGCCCCTGGGCAGGGAATACATAGGGCCAAGGGAATATACCCGTCCAGCTCACCAGGACATCCCCTGTTCTTAAATCTGGCTACTTCTGGGGCTGATATCGGGTTTTTCCCTGCTCCATCCTCCCAAGGATGGGTCACACTGAGGTACATGCACCCCTAAGCCCCAAGGACAGCCATCTGAGGGGGAATGGGTATGGAGGCCACTGTCCACACCCATGCACATGATGTCCCTCATGGTGCAGACCCTTGCCTGGAGGCTGGCTCTTCTTGTGCTGTCTCATTCAGGCTTGGAACTCCAAGGATTCAGAGAATTGTAGATAAATGCAAACCTGATCTTCCAGGTTGTTTTGTAGCTTTGTTTGTTAGTATATTAAGATAGAAATTATTTTACTTAATATCCTGTTAGCTGATTTTTAACATTTAAAATCATATAAAATCATAATGTTTAGTCATATGGTACACTGGATCTCCCTATTTGTACTCTTGCCCTGGGGCCCCAAACTGTAAGGTTCAGGCCAGGCTCATGGTGACCCCAAGCTCCTAGGCACTTTGCCCTTGAGAAGCTCTGAGACGCTGGGCTGGCATTTAAACAGTTACGGGGTTGGCCAAAAAGTTTGGGTTCTTCTGTAACAACTTTTGGAAATGTAAACAAACTTTTTTACCAAATGAATACAAAGAGTGGTATCCACTCTAACAATTATGCATCAAGCACAGTTCAGTTCAGTTCAGGTGCTCAGTCTTGTCTGACTCTTTGCGACCCTATGAATCGCAGCACGCCAGGCCTCCCTGTCCATCACCAACTCCTGGAGTTTACTCAAACTCATGTCCACAAAGGGGCATCAATTTTACTGAGTATTTGAGAAAGTGTTTCACAGAGAAAGTGATATTTGCACTGAATCTTGAAGGATGAGTTGGACTTCATTAGGAAGAGCAGGTCATTTCCAGCAAAGGGAACAGAATTTGCAAAGACGTAGAGGTGTGGAATGTGTAGTGGGGGAGTGTGGGAAGGGATGGGTTGTAAATGTCTGCTGATAGTTTTTTTTTTAAATTGAAGTATAGTTGATCTACAGTGTTGTGTTAATTTCTGCAGTACAGCAAAGTGATTCAGTTATAGATATATGTGTTCTTCATTTTCCATTATGATTTCTCTCAGGACATTGAATATAGTTCCTTGGCTATACAGTAGGTCCTTGTTGTTTACCCATCCTATGTATAGTAATTTTCATCTGCTAATCCCCAACTCCCAGTCCTTCCCTCTCCCCCACCCCCCGCCTTGGCAGCCACACGTTGGTTCTTTATGTCTGTGAGTCTGCTTCTGCCTCATATATGTATTCATTTTTGTTGTATTTCAGATTCTACGTGTAAGTGCTATCATGTGGTGTTTGTCTTTCTCTTTCTGACTTGTTTTGCTTAGTATGATAATCTCTAGGTCCATCCATGTTGTGGCAGATGGCATTATTTCATTTTTTATGTTTGAGTAATATTTCATTGGGTATATATATACCCACATATATGTGTGTATACATACACATACCACATCTTCTTTATCCATCCATCTCTTGGTGGACATTAGGTTGCTTCCATGTCTTGGTTACTCCACTGATAGACTTGAAGAGGCATAGATTAAAGCCCCCAGTCATATCCATTCCTATCCTACCTTCCATCTCATCTCATGCCTAAGAAACCTCCCTCCCTTACATCATTGATTTTCTGCTATTCTGTAGGTGACTCAGGCCCCAGGAGACTGGGAGGTTCTGGCTGTCATGGTCCCCGTGCCACCTTTTACCTGCCTGCTTCGGGACCTGACACCTGCCACCAACTACAGCCTCAGGGTTCGCTGTGCTAATGCCTTGGGGCCGTCTCCATATGCTGACTGGGTGCCCTTTCGGACGAAGGGTCTAGGTAAAGGACTTAGAGAGCAGAGTGCCTGGGCAGAGATGAGCGGGGGCAGGTAGTGTCAGCTCCAGTTCTGAATGGAGTTGATTGAAAGAGGGTTACCTGAGGGAGGGATCATACATCCATCAGCCAGCACTTCACTGAGTGCTTGCTGCTTACCTGTGAACTGGATAAATCCAGCCCCCATCCAGCAGCTCTAGTTCTAGTGGGTGGGGCAGACAAGCAGAAAAGATTGGATAGTACGGTGGTAAAGAGTGCCCTAGGGGGCTCCGGGAATACCTGGATACAGAGATCTGAGGTCTGAATGATAAGGAAGAACCCATATTTGGGGGGAAATCCCTGCAGAAAGAGGGCACAGTGACCCTATAGCACAAACATGCGTGGAGTTCCTAGCAATTGCAAAGAGGCTGCAGGGCTGTGAGGACAGGAGAGTGAAGGGTGCCACGGAGGAGCAACCAAGGTGATGAAGAGCAGTACCCTGCCTCGTTGGGATGGTCCGGGCCTTGCCATTGCACACCCCTACTCCCCAGGACAGCGGGTAATAGCAGTCAGCAATGGCAGACAAACTGTTCCCCCACCTGTTGCTCTCTGAGCAGTTTAGTTCTATGGAGCCGGTTCCGAAGGCCCACATGGGCTAGTGATGGTGCGCAGGCAGGGCAAGGCTCTTAGCAAGCTTCTCTCTCTGGGAACAGCCCCAGCCAGCGCCCCCCAGAACCTCCGTGCCATCCGCACAGACTCTGGCCTCATCCTGGAGTGGGAAGAAGTGATCCCCGAGGGCCCTTCAGAAGGCCCCCTGGGACCCTATAAAATGTCCTGGGCTCAAGACAACGGTACCCAGGTAAGGGAAACTTCCACTCTCCAAGTGCACTAGAGTCAGCCGTCAGGGCTGAGGCCCTTCAAGATTCAGGTTAGCGGTCCTTGGTGAGCCCAGGGGCCGTGGTGGGCCTTCCGCCACCCCTGGGGGTCTACACCATCCTGCCCCCCTCTGCAGGCTGCCTTCTTCATTGGGGTCCATCTCCTGTTAAGACTGCTTCCAGTGTCCACTTTGAAAGTCAGGCAGGAAGTACATTCCTGCACAAACGGGGGAGGACGCAGATAAGGCCTTCTTATCCTCTTCCACCCCTCAGTTCCCTCCCATCCCCCACCCCTGCTTTCTCAGACTGAGCCTTGTTTGTGTTCAGGAGAGGCCTCTGCAGCCTGCAGCAGGAATGTGATGACTCCCAGCAGGTTGTGTCCCTGCATCCCCTGCACCCACAGTGTTCCTCGCCGCCCATGTTCCTAGTGAGATCTTTTTCTGCCTTCAGGCCCCACCCAGCTGGAGCCTTTTTCCTCAGGCTCAGTGTGGGATGGGGGCTTTTCCTGGCTACAGGGTGAGCTGACGGTGGAGGGGACCAGGGCCAACCTGACGGGCTGGGACCCCCAGAAGGACCTGACTGTGCGTGTGTGTGTCAGCAATGCAGTTGGCTGTGGGCCCTGGAGTCAGCCACTGGTGGTCTCTTCTCATGACCACGCAGGTAAGGCCTATAAGGGGAAGGGGCCATGGGGTTGAGGCTTTCCAGGGCCACCTGGACTGATGGGAGGCGATTGGCAGCACCTCCCCTCCTAAGAGGCCCGAAGACTCAGAGTCAAGCACTTGAGGCCAGGGTTGTATCTCATCCTCCACCCCCATGCCCTGCAAGCTAGCATAGAAATGCCTGGTCACACTGTAGGTCCCAACAGCCAGGGCCTGTGGCTGACAGTAGGAACCCTTGGGTCTTCCTTTGGAGCCTCTTTCCACTCTGCTTCCCTTACTGACTGAGAGGAGCCATTGGATCAGGCTTAGTGACTGTCATTTAAAAATTCTAAAGGGCCTCTGTGGTGTCAGCCTAGCTCGTGCTACTGCCCCTGTCTCTCGCAGGCCAGCAGGGTGCTCCCCACAGCCGCACATCCTGGGTGCCAGTGGTCCTGGGTGTGCTGACAGCCTTGGTGACAGCTGCTGCCCTGGCCCTCATCCTGCTTCGAAAGAGGAGGAAGGAGACACGGTTTGGGTAAGGGCTGGGGACATGGAGAGAGAGGCAGGCACTTACTGAAGACCTTGGAGCGGACTCCAAGTCCTGGGTCTCCTTTTAGGCAAGCCTTTGACAGCGTCATGGCCCGGGGGGAGCCAGCTGTTCACTTCCGGGCGGCAAGGTCCTTCAATCGGGAAAGGCCTGAACGCATTGAGACCACACGTGAGTGAGTGGTGGGGAGTCATATGAGGAAGGAATGAGGTGTCTTGAACCCGCACCTGCCTTTCTCTTACTGATTTGACCAATAAGTCTGAACCTTGCTGAGTCCTAGGCACACCATGGAAAAGACACGTAGACCTATCCTGGCAGAGATCGCCAGCCCAGCTGTGGGGCAGCTGAATAAAGCTCACCTCTGCTTTGAGGGTGGCGTCTGGGGTGGAGGAGGCAGACTGAGTTTTGGATCAGGACCAGAGAGGTCCCTGCACTTTCTTATGGCCACCTCCCCACAGTGGACAGTTTGGGCATCAGTGATGAGCTGAAGGACAAACTGGAAGATGTGCTCATCCCGGAGCAGCAGTTCACCCTGGGCCGGATGTTGGGCAAAGGTGTGTGGGGCTGAGCAGGGACGGGTGTGAGCTGCTGGGGCTGGGTGTGTCTGGTTGCTTCCATGTCACTCTGGGGCTGTGGATGTAGGTCAGCGATATGCTCATAAACTCCTGGCTGCTGGATGTTTAGGGGAATGGAGGCTGCAGTCGAGAAAGGCTGAGGTGTCATCACTCCTAGCTTACTTTGCTTTGCTATGAATGAGGGAGCCTTCTTCAGTGGCCCCAGAAAGTGATACTGTGTCCCTATGAAGGATCACTGGGGAGGTGAGTGAGGAGCAAGAGGCCAAGGGGACTCACCATTGTTTGGATCGGTTCCTAGGAGAGTTTGGTTCAGTCCGGGAGGCCCAGCTGAAGCAGGAGGATGGCTCCTTTGTGAAAGTGGCTGTAAAGATGCTGAAAGGTGAGTAGAGAATATTACTATAGTGGAGTGAGGGTGTCACTTGGGAAGGTGAAAGAAGGGGCTGATTCTGAAGCAGGCTCTGCTGGGTCCCTAGACTTTCCAAGATGTGTTATTCAGTGCTAACTGTGATACTTTCTGTGCCACGTGAATAATTCACAGGCATAAACCCACACTCCTTGGTGCCCGAGCCTCTGTCCTCTGCCTCAGCAGTGACTGTCCTCTGGTTTCACTCGGGGTGACTAAAGCTGTGGTTGGTTGAGTGGTTTGGCTGTCCAAACCAAAGCGAAAGCATGAGCGAGTGGAGATGTTGGACAGACCAGCCTGTGGGGTTTCCTCCTGCTCATGACCAGACTGTTTCCCCACACCCACAGTGGTCACGTCTCCCTCCTTCCCTCCCTCCTTTCCTCCCAGCTGACATCATTGCCTCGAGCGACATTGAAGAGTTCCTCAGGGAAGCGGCTTGCATGAAGGAGTTTGACCACCCACACGTGGCCAAGCTTGTTGGTGAGTCCCTTCTTGGGGGAGGTAAATGTAAAATGAGGCTAAAACTGTGCTCCCCCAAGGTGCCAGGGCAGCCTGTGGGGAGAAGCTCGGACTTGCCCGGTGAGTAAGCAAACACCAAAACAGCAAGGCGGGGCGTGGCTGAGATCTGATCAGGCCACAGGTAAGGAGCTCAGTTTGCAGACCCTGTACCTTGACGACTGCTTGGGTAAACAGAGGAGGAGGAGACAGAGAAGATGCTCCAGAGATTCAGGGGCAGCCAGAATGACTCCTAGGGAGTCTCCAGGCCAGTGTGGAACTTATGCAGAAAGAGGTAGCAGAGCCAGGGCTAGAGGAAGGGCCAGCAGGTGGGGACGCGAGCAGATGCTTGGACTGTCCTTTGACCTTTATGTGCCCCTCTGACCCCCCCTTGCCCCCAGGGGTGAGCCTCCGGAGCAGGGCCAAAGGCCGTCTTCCCATCCCCATGGTCATCCTGCCTTTCATGAAGCACGGGGACCTGCACGCCTTCCTGCTTTCCTCCCGGATTGGCGAGAACCCCTTTGTGAGTGCCTGGGGTGCGAGTGGCCGGGAGTTGGAAAGGCCCAGAAACCCTGGGAGAGAGGTTGGCTTGGTGGACAGGGCCGTTTGAGTTGGTTGGGAGAAGGTAGGCTCCAAGTCTGACTTTTATTGCTAACAGGCTTCCTTCTCCCTCGCAAGTCCCCATTGGGAATTGAGGCTTGGCTAGGCCCCTTCCCGGGAGAGGAGCCCCATGGGGCCCCAGATTGGGACAGTCTTGACTTTTGGGTGCTCTCCCTCAGGTTTGCCAAAGCTTCCTTGCCTTGGGAAGCCCTTCCACCCCCTTTCTTTCAGCGATTCTGAGGACAGTTGTTAGGTTTCCTGGTCAGGGAACCCCGTTCCTCCTGCCCTGGCTAGGTCTGTCCTGAGCTTGCTGTCCTGTCTGCCCACCAGAACCTGCCGCTGCAGACCCTGGTCCGGTTCATGGTGGACATTGCCTGTGGCATGGAGTATCTGAGCTCCCGGAACTTTATCCACCGAGACCTGGCTGCTCGGAACTGCATGTATGTGAATTCGGGAGGGTTCGGGTGGGAGGCAGGAAGCAATACCAGGAAGAACTAGCCCCCGACTGGGACAGTATCTGCTCTGAGGAGATGGCTTGGGGACAAGGACACCCTGGATTTACTAAGGCTGCGGCCTGGTGGAAGGCTGACCCCATCCTCCAACCCCTCCCAGGCTGGCAGAAGACATGACAGTGTGTGTGGCTGACTTTGGACTCTCCCGGAAGATCTACAGTGGGGACTACTATCGTCAGGGCTGTGCCTCCAAACTGCCTGTCAAGTGGCTGGCCCTGGAGAGCCTGGCTGACAACCTGTACACTGTGCACAGTGACGTGGTGAGCAGGTGGTGACGGCAGTGCTGTGGTCAGTGCGTGGGTGGACCTGTAGCCTCTCCGAGGGCCTAGCCCACTCGGCCCTCTGGGCTCTGGCTGTCCCATCCCGAGGCCCCTGAGCCCCAAGATGTGCTTGCTTCGAGACTGCCTGGCTTAGGAAGCCTAGTGACACCTCCCGTCCAACCTCGATTCTGTCCCAGTGGGCCTTCGGGGTGACCATGTGGGAGATCATGACTCGTGGGCAGACGCCATATGCCGGCATCGAGAACGCTGAGATTTACAACTACCTCATCGGCGGGAACCGCCTGAAACAGCCTCCGGAGTGTATGGAGGACGTGTGAGTGCCCCCAGAAGGGGATTCTGGGTGGGGACAGGTGTTTGGGGTTTCAGGTGACGGCTACCACCACACCTTCGGTCCTGGTGGGGGCTGCGATCCTCAACTGAACTTTTGTGGAAATATCCTTGTAGTTAGAAGCGAGTCTGACTTCTACCCCGAACTTTCTCATCTACGACTCCTGTTTCCTTTCTCTCCTCCTTTATCATCCTATAGTTCTTCCTCCAGCCTTTACCTATTGCTCATTTTCTCCAGATTCCAGGGAGAACCAGGAATCCACCCCCCGCCCCCAGGGACAGAAGGTCCAGGGTTGAGCAACAGTGCAGGTTCCTCTGTTACCGTTCTCCACCCAGACTCCTTCTCCAAAGCTGAGCGTCCCTCCCCCTCCGGGAGTGCTCCACGGGGGCTGGGAAAAACTGCTGCTCCGTCGCATTCCTTGCTTGACAGGGAGGGGGCGCTGGGGGTGGGAGGTTGGGTTCCTTTCTTATATGGGCCTCTGCTCTGGGGGAGTGGAGAGACCTAAGATAACAGACTGCAATCCTGGGGAGAAGGGCACTGTCTTCCCTCCTTTCTGGAAGCCTGGACCCCTTGGGAATGGGGCGGGATGGTGATACACTGGCTGCTCGGGGGGAGAGTCATGAACCACTTGTAACTAGAACACAGTATCGCTAACATCAACTGGCTACTTCACAGGCATTCTTTCAGGTAATCCTCCTCTAACCCTATGAGGAAAAGACTATTATTATCCCCATTTTGTAGATGAAGAATTAGGATTAAAGAGGTTAGGTAACACGACCCATGTCACACAGCTATTAGGTGAATAAGTTGAGACTTGAACCTAGATCTATGTGATTTTAGAATGTGCCTATTAAACATGACCCCCACTATGACTTGTCTATTCTAGTGTTATTCTCCCATGCCATGCAAGCCAGAGTTTCCCTGGGCCCCCAGAGGACATTTGCATTAGTACTAGGGGATGGGAGGCTACAAACCTATTTCCTGCTCTGGGGTTGGACCTCCAGAGGTGCAAGAATGGAGACAGGCAGAGGAAGCCTCAGCCTGAGTGGTGGGATCCTCTTTCTTCTAGGGTAGGGGCTTTGAAGGACCCTGAGGCTGGACTGTGGGAGAGGGAAATCTGAGTGCACAAACCAGGGCTTCCCCCTCAACAGAGCTCAGGGAAGTCAGAAAACTCAGGTCTCCCGGTGGCTGCAGCCTGCCTGGGCCTCTGAAGCCACAGTGGCTCTGCTGGGCAGTGGGGACCAGGCCCTGGCTTAGTGTCATTCAGGACTGAAGTTAGTGTTGTTAGTAGGGGGTGGGCGGGCGCTGGCTTCGCACCAGGCAGCCCGTGGACAGGCGCCAGTTGGCTCCTGGCACGGCCTTGACAGTATATCCCAGCCCAGCCACACAGCCATGGCCTGGACCATTCCCACGACCTATTCAGTGTCTGGCATGATTTTCCCCCCATCATTGGAGGCCACTGTCAGGAGGCCTGGTATGTGGGGAGTGTTTGGGGCTTTTACTGTGGGCACAGGCAAGAAAGTCAGGCATTTGCTCTGACTAGATCTGGTCTCAGTCCCTTCCTGTTAGATTTTTTTTTTCCTTCAGCATGAGGCATTCCCTGGGAATAGGAATAAGACCTCAGGGAATCTATAAAGCTCCTAAAGTTGTACATAAAAAATGTTGCTGCCAGGGAAGGGGCTGGAAGCTTTTCTGATTCTCAAAGGTGTCCATGAACAATGAAGATTTAAAACCCCCTGAATGGATGAGGATTTAGGACAAAGGGTGAACGCTCAAATCTCACTCTCCTCCAGATAACCCTGACTCCTGGCTGTGTTTCACAGGACAAAAAACACTCCTACTACCCCCTCCCAAAACAGCAGAAGAGGGACTCTAGACCCTACCCACCTGGTTTCATCACTTTCTACTTGTGTGACCTTAGTCAATGTTCTTAACCTGTCTGTGCCTTTTTTTGAACATTGGTAGAGTAGGAATCACTTATTTCATAATATTGTGAGAATTAGTAATAAATATAAAATACTTAGAATAGTGCCAGATACACAGTAAACCCATAGTGCCAGTAAATAGTGCCAGACACAGAGTGTTCGATTTATATATATTTGACCTTGCCATGTGGCTTGCAGGATCTCAGTTCCTTGACCAGAGATTGAATCTGGGCCACGGCAGCAAAAGCCAGAATCCTAACCACTAGGCCACCAGGGAACTTCCACAATCACATCTTTTAAAATTGTGGTTTCATATAATAAAGGGGCCCCTGCTTTTGAGAGGAGGACCCTTCTTCCCCTTTCTCTGGCTCCTCACTCCCTGCCGTCCCCCTTCTCTCTGTCCCAGGTATGAGCTCATGTACCAATGCTGGAGTGCCGACCCCAAGCAGCGCCCAAGCTTCACGTGTCTACGAATGGAGTTGGAGACGGTCCTGGGCCGCCTGTCTGTACTGTCCGCCAGCCAGGACCCCTTGTACATCAACCTTGAGGGGGCCCAGGAGCCTACTGAGGGAGGCGACCTGGAGCTGCCTGGCGGGGACCAGGCCAGCAGCGGGGCGGGGGATGGCAGTGGCCTGGGGGCCGTGGGGGGCACCCCCAGTGACTATCGGTACATCCTCAGCCCTGGGGAGCTGGCTGAGCGGCCTGGGCAGGGGGAGCAGCAGCCAGAGAGCCCCGTCACTGAGTCTCAGAGGCTGCTGCTACTGCAGCAGGGGCTACTGCCCCACAGTAGCTGTTAGCCCATAGGCCGAGGGCATCCGGGGCCACGTGGCTGGCTCTGCCGGCCGCTGTGCTGGCTGACTAAGCCCCGTCTGACCCCAGCCCAGGCGGCAAGGCGTGGAGGCTCCTGTGGTAGCCCTCCTGAGCTGTGCTGGAAGCCTGGACTGACCACATCACCCAATCCCAGTTCTTCCTGCAAAACTCTGGCCGGCCTGGCATCAGTTCAGGCCTCTGCTGGGTGGAGGTGGGCCAGGCCTGGTTGTCTAAATGCAGGCAGCTGGCAGAGGGGGTGGTTATGTTTCCATGGTTACCATGGGTGTGGAGAGAAGTTGGGGCCCCTATCTCCCAGCTGAGCGGCCCTGTTGCTTCAGTGCATGCATTGAGGCGTCTCTGGCCTGGGGGCCCATCTGTGCCTGTGCTTGGGGTTTAAATGTCCAGGTTTGCCCCTCCTCACAAAGAGATGCCCTTGTATTATTCCCCTTTAGGTGAGACTTGGTAAGGGATTGGTACAGTCGGGTCCCGAGCTCTATAGCGTGAGGTAGTGGGACACTCAGGTCTGAATTGTTGTCACCTTCCCGGTTACCCATCCTGTCTAGGTCAGGAGTAAAGAGCAGCTGAGCAGATCATGGCCAGGAATGCTGAATGTCATGGGCCATCCTTTGCCCAGCTTTTAAAGGCAGTACACTGAGGAGCTGGGCAAGAGGAAGGGGTGCTGTGCAATTTGCCCAGGAATGAATGAGGCCAGAGAGGAGTCCAGGAGCCCCCCTTCACGCCCTCCTGTCTGAGCATGCTGCTGCTGCTGCTAAGTCACTTCAGTCGTGTCCGACTCTGTGCGACCCCATAGGTTGCAGCCCACCAGGCTCCCCCGTCCCTGGGATTCTCCAGGCAAGAACACTGGAGTGGGGTGCCATTTCCTTCTCCAATGCATGAAAGTGAAAAGTGAAAGTGAAGTCGCTCAGTTGTGTCCGATTCTTAGCGACCCAATGGACTGCAGCCCACCAGGCTCCGCCGTCCATGGGATTTTCCAGGCAAGAGTACTGGAGCGGGGTGCCATTGCCTTCTCCGCTGAGCATGCTACCATATCCCAAAATATCCCAAGACTAACAAAGGCAGCTGTGTCTCAGCCCAGTCCTTCCATGCAGCATCCCTTAGTTCCAATTTTGCCTCTAACTGGAGACCCTCTTCTGTTCCATGTCTCCAGAGATGGAGAGAAAATAGGCCTGGTGACTGGTGTGGCTGAAGGGGAGTAACTGGAGCCTGGACCCCAGCCCTGACTAGGGGAGCCTCTGGGAATGAATGGGGCAGGCCCTTGCTGATAGGGACTTTTCCAAGACGTTAGACGCTGTTTAAAAACAGAAATAAATTGAAGACTAAAGACTCAAGGCTTTGTCTCTTAAATGTTTACTTTTCTTTCCAGATCACAAAAATGAAGCATCTTTGCAGAGAGAAAAGTGTGGAAAGACATTTGCCAAAATGTTAACAGCTGTTATCTTTACATGATGTCTTTAAGGGGACTTTTCTTTTTCCTTTATGTTTCCCAAGTTTTCTGCATTAGGCACAAAATGCTTTTGTAATTACAGACGGTCCCAAAGAATCTTATAGTAAAGATAATACATAGAGATAATTAGGAAAATGCTGAAAGTCATTTTAAAAATGCCAAATACCTATAATCCTACCACCAATGACCTTTGAAAATGCAAATGTTTTGAAAAAGTTCTTTATCTTGGAATAGAGACAAAGAGACTACTTTGGCTGCCTCCTAACCCTCTATCAGATTCTGTTGGGTGTGGAGACAGCGCTCACCTTCACAATGTCGCCTGGACCCAGGAAACTGAAAAGTGGGCAAAGAGAATGGTGAGCCTCTTGGGGATTAGAAATAAGAGCATGAAGTTTGCTTTCAAGTATTTCCACCTGAAAACTTCAGAAGCTTTTAGAGCAAGCTAATGGGAATGAGCCACAGGAGGCGTGAGAAATGGCCACTCTTTGTCGAGGGGTGTGGGAAGACTGGGAGGGACGCAGGTATTGCACGGCTGGCTGAGGGCAGTGGAATGGGGTGGATGCTTTTTGAAAGCAAATATCCTGAAAAACCTGTTACTGGAACTCCAGATTCTTGTTCCCACGTGGATCATGAGACCCGAAGTAACTTTCAGGCTTTCAGAATCTTTCCTGCTTGTGATTAGCTTTAACTGCAGGTAATGATTTGGAGAAGGAAATGGCACCCCACTCCAGTATTATTGCCTAAAGAATCCTGTGGACAGCGGAGCCTGGTGGGCTGCCGTCTATGGGGTTGCACAGAGTCGGACACGACTGAAGTGACTTAGCAGCAGCAGCAGGTAATGATTATCTGTGAGGTAGTGTTTGGGAATTACTGACTGGGAGACCTTTCAGTTAGTTCAGTTGCTCAGTTGTGTCTGACTCTTTATGACCCCATGGCCTTTACATCTTGGGAGATCTTTACATCTAAATAATCGTCTACTATTAATGGACTCCTGTTAAGTGTCAGGTATAGTGCCTGGTGCTTCATGTATATTATCTCACTTAATACAGGGAATATTCCTATAAAATGGGACTATAATTATCCTTTGAAAGGACAGAAATGCAGAATAAGTAACTTGTCTAAGGTTATGTAACTGACGAATGGTTGATCCAGACTTTAAATCTACTATGTCAGAGAGCAGAGCCTGTGCAATTCTCATACCACACCAGAGAGTGTTTGGAAGTTTCATTGCAATCATGTCATCTTTTGGGTGACTGCTTGTCAATAGTAGGTGCCTTTAAAAATGCACAGGATGGGACTTCTGGTGGTCCAGTGGTTAAGACTCCGCACTTCCTCTGCAGGGGGCATAGGTTTGACCTCTGGTCCAAGAACTAAGATCCCACATGCCACATGGCAGGCCAAATAAATAATAAATACATGTTTTAAAAATGCACAGGAGTTCCAATAAGTGTGTGTGTGACAAAGTAATCTATCTAAATTGAAATTGTCAGTAATTAAAATGAGTGTAAGTAACTTTTTCAGCTCAGTCTCTTTTCCCAAGGCACCTTGGACCTTGGCCCCCCTGCAACAGTCATGGGGTTTGAGGTAAGGTGATAATAGTGGAATTTTTTTTTTTTTTAATAAATTTTTTGTCTGCACCACATGGCATGCAGAATCTTAGTTCCTCTACAAGAGATCAAACCCAAGCCGGCTACATTGGAAGAGCAGAGTCTTAACCACTTGACCACCAGATGAGTCCCAATAGTGGAATTTTTAAAAACCTTTTATTGAAGTGTGACACAAAAAGTATATACCAATCAGAAGTGTATAGTCATAAAGAATTTTCACAAACAGATCCAAATAACCAGTAACCAGATCGAGGAACAGAATGTTACCAACACTCCAGGAGCAATTTGGGTCCTGTCCCATCTCTGCCGCCTCTCTCTTTCCCAGAGGTAACCTCTGTCGTGCCTTCAAACACCACTGATTGGTGTAGCTTGTTTTGCAGTTCATATAAATAGAATCATATAGGTTGTATTATTTTGTGTTTGCCTTCTTTCACTCAGCAATGTTTTCCAGAGTCATCAAGCTGTTGTCAGATCCAAGTTCATGCACCCAATGCACAGTGAGGCCAAACAAACCAAAATGCTGAAGTGTGAAGCAGAGAGAGGTTTACGGCAAGAACCCAGCAAGGAGAACAGGCTCAAAATGCTCAAAACGGCTGAACTCCTCAGTGGTGTGGGGAGGTTTTTTTGTTTTTGGCTGTACCCTCAAGGTTTGCAGGATCTGAGTTTCCCAACCAGGCTCAGACTCTTGCCCCCTGCACTGGGCACTGGAGTGCTAAGGACTTGCCAAGGAAGAGTTTTTATAGACGAAATTTGCTTGGAGGGCTGCAGGGTGCGGGACCTTCCTTTGATTGGTTGGTGATGAGGTAACAGGGTGGTGTTCTAGGAGTCAGCCTTCTGGTTCTAACCAGTCTGGATCCTGTGCTTTGTCTGAAATTACCATCCTCCACATGGGTGGGGGCATTAGTCCTCCTAGGCAGAAAGACTCAGAGATTTGTATCACTTTGTGATGTATATTCCTTGAGGAGGAACTAGTAACCTGCCCCTTGTCTCCTGGCTGCCTTTCCTTTGTTTCTGCATTCTCTTATTCCCCTAATTAGTAACTGCTTGAATCTGCCCTTTGAAGCTCAGGGAAGGTCTATGGGGCCGAAGCCTTTTCCCTCCAAACCAGAAACAGAGGACACAAAAAGGCTTTTGTACTCAGGAGGGACCCCATAGAATTCTGCTTGGTTTCAGAGCCACAACAATTTTGAGAGATGGGAGTCGAAGAGAAGAGACAAGAGTAGAGCAGTGTTTTTGTTTTGTATTTCTGTATTTTGTAATTATGTCTTCTGGCTCAGTGCTTCTCGTACCTCAAACAAGATGCTACAAACAAATTACCTGAGAATCTTGTTAAAAATATAGATTCTGATTTGATAGGTGTGTGGTGGGATTCTGAATTTCTAACAAGTTCTGAGGTGATGCAGATGTTGCCAGCCTGAGGACCACACTTTTTAGGTGTAAGCACTATGCTTGAAAGTGTGCAGCGGTGTTTTAAAAACCATTCAATGACTGCAATATAGAATCATTTCAACATAATAACACTAATGGGAAAGATTGGAACATAATTTCTATATCATAAAATTTGATTATGTTTTTCTGATTGATACTTTCCTACTTAAAAAAAATTTTATCTTTTCAAATAGATGTCAAATACACATAAAAAAACTTTAACAGGTAGACAGTGAAAATAACTTGCCTTGCTGCTGGCCCCTTATTTCTTCTGTCCAGAGGTAACCACTGTTACTGATTAACTGTGAAATTTTCAAGGGATATTTTACCCATATACTTATTTTTCTTTTACACAAATGGTAGGTAATTGTACATGCTGTTCTGCCCCTTGTTCTTTTTATTAACAATATGTGTGTAAGTAAATACGTAATGGTATGTATTCTAGATATTGTTCTAAGTTCTTTTGGTATTTTATTTAAAGTTCACAACAGCTCTTGTAGCAGGTATGATTATTATTTCCATTTTATAGATGTAATTCAAATCTAATATACCCTATAAGCCTCGCATTTGAAGGTTTTTCCCTAGCGGTACACGTGCATCTCTACTCCTATTTATAATGTACCATAATTTATTAAATAAGCTCACTATTGATGGACATCTAAGTTGTTTTCAATACCTTGCTATTACAGAGTGCTGCAATGAATTTTTGAAGCACCTTGCTTCATACTGATGAGTATAGCCATAGGAAAATTCCTAAAAGAGAAATTGCTCAGTCAAAGGAATACATTTAAAATGTTGATCAATATTGCCAAACTGGGACTTCCCTGGTGGTCCACTGGCTAAAACTCTGTACTCCCAATACAAGGGGCCTGGGTTTGATCCCTGGTCAGGGAACTAGATCTCACATGCTGCAACTAAGTTCACATGCCATAACAAAGATCCCTCTTGCTGCAACTAAGACCAGATGCAATAAAATAAATATATATACATAGCCAAATTGCCTTCCATAGGTCAGTTTTGTCTACATGATAGATGAGAAAGGTATTTCATTGTAACTTTGGTTTGTATTTCTCTTATTATGAATGAGGCATCTTTTCATGTTTAAGAGCCATTTTGATTTTCTTTACAACTGTTGTATACTTAAATTTTTTTTTACTGGATTGTAGTTGATTTACAATGTTGTGTTAGTCTCTGCTGTTCTGCAAAGTGAGTCAGTTATACATATACATATATCCACTCTTTTTAGGTTCTATTCCCATATAGGCCAGTACATAATGTCAAATAGAATTCCCTATGCTATACAGTAGGTTCTTATTAGTTATCTATTTTATATATATATAGTAGTTTACTATGTCAATCCCAATCTCTCAATTTATCCCTCCACCTCCCGTCGTGTACTTTTTTACCAAACTGTTGGTCTCTTGTTACTAATTCATAAGTGTTGTTTTTGGCTGTGCTGCTCAGCTTGTGAGATCTTAGTTTTCTGGCCAGGGATTGAACCTGGGCCCTTGGTAGTGAGAGCACAGAGTCCCAACCCAATCACTGGACCACCAGGGAATTTCCCATAATTGCTACTTTATATTAAGGAGATTATTCTTTTGTCTGTGATATGTAGTATGTATGTTTTTTTTTTAAATTTTAGAATTATTTACTTATTTATTTTTGGCTGTGTGCAGGCCCTTTTCTAGTTGTAGCAAGTGAGCGCTACTCTCTAGTT